ATTTGTACTAGCGTTTCGGCCGATCTATGCATCGTCCCTGTAGAGACTTGAGATGAAAACGGTAGAAAAGCGATCCAAGTTACGACGAAGTAGATACAATCTCCTTCATTTGTACTGTAAATGTGTATGCACATGAAGCTTAAAGCTTTATGGTGAGGTTGTACATATCCAGACCCACTGCAACTGCCGTGACTGCTGCAATGTATGCGACCAGTATCCCCATAGACTGCAAAACAGTCATATGCAAGGTTGGAAATGTCATGTTGACCAGACCGGTCAGTAGGTTCGCTACAAGGAAGACTGCTAGACCATTACGGTTGTAGGCGTAGAGTACAGTGCTAGTAGCATCTCTACTTCTCCGAGATTCCTCCTCTTTGGTCTTGGCATTGTACAGGTTTGGAAAGAGGAAACTCTCGATGGCGTAGCAGATGGTGATCTGGTAGCTGTTGAACGAGGAGACCCAGAGGAAGTAGGGGAGGTTGGCTAGGCGTCGCGATACGGGGAGTCGCAGACCGTAATAATTGGTTGAGAAATAGAAGAGAGCTGTCCAAAATACAGAAGTCATAATCAACTTGCCGAACGTAGATTGTTGGAGCTTGACCTGGAATGATGCGTTCTTTGCGATCGGCTGTTGTCTTGGTAGTGCGGACGCACCCAAGGACTGGCCTGCAAGAAAGATGGCGAGGTAGCCAAAGAAAGAGAAGATGCCTTCTCGGTTCTGGGAGAAGAGGTCGGTCCGTGGAGCTACCAGTATAAAGGATCCGAGCGAGGTCCAGTCTAAAGCAATCTCATATGCAGCAGCCAGAACAAAAGAAAGAACGGCATAGGACGGTACCAAGTCAAAGGCCGATTGGAAGAGAGCCGCAAATGGGGGCAAGAAACCGAGGGTGAAGAAGAAGTTCCAGTGTACACCATATTCGGTAACATGTTCAGCATAATCCAGTCCTTTGACGGAGATGAGCCGTATAGTGCCTAAGACCAGAAGAGGGATGGCATGTCTAACCGATGCCGTAAGGCGCTTCGATAGCGGCTGACGACCAGCTCCTTCCTTGAGAGAAGCCCGGACAGATACTACACCAGCCGTGAAGACGAATGATCCCACACCCATATCCATGAGCGATGTACCCCAATTCTCTACTTTTGCGAAACGCCGAGGAAAGACGCGGAAGTCGACTGCCAGGATAGCAACACACGTTATGACCATCATTGCGCCACGGTAATTCGTAATGAACGGCTTCACAGGGAGTGCATCGAGCTTCGTGTCCTTTTCGGATTTATCGATCTTGGGTGGTCGCGGGGTATCTTTTGCCGCGACTGGCTTCTCGAAGACATAGAGCGTGATTGCTGGTAGTAGTAGAAGGAGGTTCAGGATCCATGGTGAATGCGAGTATATGGTAGTCGCGAATAACGTGGCTCCGCAGTTGAGCAGGAAGTCAACCAAGAAGGCAGGTGGAGTATAGGGTGTGAAGAGACGCATGCGCGACTGTATGACGGTCCATAGTAGAATACTCAGCTATGCATACAATCAGTAAGGGTCCATTGCTTGAGTAGTGGGTGTGTGTACGGTACAGGCATTGCGAGCGAGACGCTATTAACGTCTGCCACGGAGCTTCCGGTGTGTCCAGACACCCAGGCCTCCTTCATCTGCTTATATGTCTTTGCCATGATGCCAGAATGAGTGTTGGGCGAGTTGGTCGTTTATCTTGAAATGCAATGGTTGGTACATCTGACGCGTCGCGCTGGCCTCTTTACAAACGGGGAGTGGCCCAAGCGCCGATGACCTCACACATCGCGGCTTCGACACTCTTCCCTCAACATCTACATTGCACTGTCATGAATTATAGCCGAACCACTAGAGGAGATCGTTTCGATATGTCTGTTCATACTATAGAGTCATAGGGGATAGCCGCCAGGAATGCCGAAAAGAGCAGGATTGCACTTTACGTGCTTGGACTTCCTCTTTCACTGTCACTGCTCCTCTAGGAGCAAACGCGTCTGTGCACAAGAATCGGGAAATGGCAACTGTAGTAGAGATTTCAAGCGCCTTCCTGCTTCACCGTCGAACACCCCGCATACCGACACGTGCCGAACCTCTTTGCTGTGACCTCTTGACTGCTCCTTGAAACTGTCAACATATGCAAATATGACCACTACTAACAAATCAAAGATACCTAGCATTCGGCCAGCTTCGGTGGGAACAAGAGGGGCATTGCCTGGACGGGCGATGTCGCCTGCAACCCGCGCGACGACGACGCCTACGGGCACTTCACGACTCCCTCGTCGCCCTCAAAGCGACAAGCCACTGCCCAGTCCGCCTATCGCGCAGGTTGTAGATCCCAACTCGCCTCCCAAGGCTTCACGCACATTAGTGGACGCTTTCACTCCGAGCCCGACCTTGAAGGAGTACCCGGTTCTGCGCCCAGAGAACATTCCCCCTCGTCTGAGTTCCAAGAGGAGCTCGCTCCCAACGCGAAGCCCAGTCGCCTCTCGCTCGTTTGTTTCCGCCAATGGAGACGAGGGTACTCGCGTGAAGCGACTATCCTGGCATTCGTCAGGCTCAGGTTCCAGCTCAGGAACTGGTCCTATCCTAACCATCTCTGGCGATGCAGATGCCATGATTCTAGGTCAACGCGACTCAATCCCGGCCGTACCTGCTATACCTTTGGTCTTCCCGGAGCGTACTACCCAGCCGCGGTCTTTCAGCGCTCTCACTAGCCGCATTTCCAAGGCGACAACATCCCGAGCAGAATTGACTATCACGACAGCGTCACCAGTACCAAGCACGAAAGAGCTCACGGCAAATGGAAGTCCAATCGTTAAGATCAGCCCCATTCGATCGATGCAGCCGCCGAGGCAGCCTAGCCTAGATGCCAATTCTCCCAGATCGCCCTCGTCAGTATATTCGACTTTCCCAGATGCCGAACGAAGTATCTCGTCGGTATCAGACAGGTCTGCAACACCTACGCCAGAGCCCAAGTCACCTGCTCCACCGCTTCGAGACCCACCCGAGCCGCCAGTTAGTTCTGTAGAAGTTTGCGAGGCATGTAATCTCTATCCTTTGACATGAAAATATTGACAGGCAAACTAGGAACTGCCTGAGGAGATCTCTGAGCTGACGATCACATCCGAATCCGATGACCTCCTCAGTGTGAGCAAGGTTAGAAAGACAACATCGACACAGGGAGATGTAAGTCCCTCGCTGGGTTCGTTCGATCGTCCTGGAAACAATGTCTCGGCCCCCAACATCAGCACTGCCGAATTGAGCTCGCCATCCTTGTCTCGAGTTAAGCGTTCACGCGATACGGCTCGCACCCCAGATTCTCTCAAGCCAGAGGTCTCGGGAACAGCCAGATCGATCAGCATCGGTATCCCGTTGGGCTGCGGAACGCCTAAGAATCGTCCGTCGCGTCGCCAGCCATACACACCCATGGTCTCATCTTCCTCTCCAGATGACACCACTCCGGAGAATCAAAACAAGGAAGCGTTAGCGACGAAAGTCAAGGCCAAACGCAGCATTCTTGGCTTATTCAGTCGCGAAAAGGCACGCGTCAAAACACCAGAGACGGCCGTTCCCAAGCAAGGATTTATGGGTGCTACACGAAGTTCGCTCGCCAAGGTCATGCGCAATTCCAAGAGTCTATCCAAGGTCCATCTGCCAAGAAAGACTGAATCGAGGTCAGAGGTTAGGTCGGATCGCACGGTCAATAAGAGGAGCAGCCAGACAGGCACGTTCACTGCGCCTGATAACGGCAGAGTGTCCCTAGCACAGGAAGAGGTTCCTGAGAAGCGGAAAAACACCACCGAGATGCTTCACGATATGGTCAATCGCATAGAAGCGGGGCCTAAAGACTCGCCAGAGCGTCTGCGCCACGTACAGATCGCAGAGGTATGTGAAGCCCTCCGATCACGGTCTCTCATGTTGGAAGAGCTCCTCCTGACAGTACAAATCAAACAGTGCATCATCCTGGCCGCCGAATACACTCGTAACGCCAGCATCAGTGCTTTGGAGGCGAAGAAGAGTGCCCGCGACGCGGAACTTCATGCAGATCGTGCTGCGCTTGAGTTTGCGCGATTGAATACGCTACTTGACGGAGCAGAGATTGATGCCCGTTCTATGAAGTTCATTAGAAGTCTGTTCACGAATGCTGCTGCCGGTGGACCTGAGGAAGAGACACGCTGAGGAGTTTTGTCAACCATGCGCGTAGCACATTGAGAGTAAGTGGGAGCTCATATTTGCTATCAGGGGCCAACAGCTAACAAATGTCAGTATGTCGTAAACAGCGCTCTGTGCATTTTACTACAGGACATCTTTGCATACCATCCAGTGTTCCTTTCGATTCAGTGGTACGCTGGCCACATTTACAGTTCTATCTTGTCGGACGGATCTGGCTCGTGTAGCTTGTCCCGAAGCGCCATGGTCTGCCATACGCTTCCTTTTCATTGTCACTTCTTTCACATTAGAAGCGTACCACGACAGAACGACAGTACGATACAAGACGATTGCATGTTTTTGCGGTTCATGATGTTATGATTGCACGCGATCATAGACTGATACGAGGTTTGGCTCACTGTCGGCTGAAAGCACCACCTAATGTCCAGTACGTGGAAGGATTGAGCATTGAGACAAGTGGTCCGACTGCACGCACGTATCGAGACCAAGGTACGAATTTGGAAGATACCCCTGTTAGATCGATCGGTTGGTTTAGAAATACAAGCTTTGTATTGTACATGTCCTTCATATCATGATGTCATTCCTGTGAATGTGGCCATGAAGGCATCCAGGCATTCAAAGGCTGAAGCGGAGTGGGCAAAGCAATCCTTCAACATTTTGATCCAGAACACCGACCGTTCCAAAGACCTATGCAGCAGCAACCGTCCCCATAGCAAGGTGTCCTGCCCTCGAATGTCCGATGTCCAGCGGCCCAGCACAAGCACAACTAGACATGCCCGTATATCGCCTAACTTCCACATTCCACCTCTTCAATATAATAAGACTTTCCTTACATTCCACCACCGAACATGCCGCCACCTCCACCCTGCTTTCCTTGTGCCTCTCCCTGCATCTTCTCGCTAACCTTGACGTTGACTTCGAAGAACTTGGATACGCAGCGGTCGAGGCAGACGGATTCGCCCTTGTTGAGATCGGCTTCCCGGTAGTTTGTGTCTATGCATTTGGCTGTGCAAGACTTGACGAGGCTGGGGAAAATTGACGTGTTAGTGTTCATCTTATTTGAGAGGGTCGCCGTGGGTAGACGTGCACAGTAGTGGGACGAGAATCGAGCAAATATAGAGTTGCAAGATGCGCAAGGCAGAATTTGCGAGTCCGAACTTACCGGCTGTACATGTCGCTCACCATGTCAATCTCAGCTTCCGCCTGCGCAATCTTTTGCTCCGAAGAGATTTGAGGTTTTTGACCGAAGAACATTGACATGTTGACTGATAATTTATCTTTCTCTTTCTGTTTGTGTGATGAGAAGGTGCGTAATTGGCGACTATAATGGTCGTCAAATAGTTTGTTTGGGGTGAGGAAGCTTGTTAAGGTAGAGTGGCCGTGGTGATGGATTTGGACATGGGTGACGGCGGGCGATGATGTCGCGCAAGCAGGAATTTGGAGCTGGGTGCGCGGTGGGGGACGTGCGAGTTGTGTGGCTCAAGTGACGCGGGACGCGGGCGGTTTTGGACTCCATTCTCGTCTCTTCGTCCTGAGCATTCGCAGCGACCATGCATCCTCACGGCTGCCGATAGGTGCGAAAGATAAGAAATTACAACAACACTAGAACTGTCAGGAGTGTACTTCCAATATTATTTCAATCGTTCCAATTAGACAAGTGGTACAGCACTAAAGATTAAGCTCATCGCCTCATGAAGACGGCCTCCGGTTCAAGTAGACTTCCAATTACTCCAATAAACGTACTTGTACAACTTTTCTCATCTATCAATACTGCCAAGTAGATCTAACATATGTTTCTGACGTCTCATCCGCGCTGATGTGGTATTGTTGCTAGCGTATACGGCCTGTGTAGCCTGAGTGGCCTGTGATGACCTTGGACGATCATGCTCAGTACCCGACAACTCTGTAGCTGGAGGGATGCGTGGTGGAAAATTTAACGATGATGTACTGCGCGTTGACGGCCGAGGATCTGAAGACACACCAGATACAGACCAAGGTCTTATGTTCGCTGTCTGGCGACGTTGGCCACTCATAGACATGTGCGTCTGGAACTGTCCAGAGTCGAGCTCATATGTTGAGGACGGAACCGACAGTTCATTGACAACGGAGACGGTGGTGGGCTCGCTGACCGTATGCGACACCATAGGTCTGCGTGTTGGGGTAGCTGGTAGCTCCGAGAGTAATGGCTGATACTTGTTGGCATGCTGACTCATGTGCGATCTCTGGCTAGGAAGTTGTGATAAATCTCGACTCAACCGCGCCATATGACTTGGTGCATGAGCTGGCTCACTTCCAGGAAGCTCGACAGCAAGGCTTATATCCCCTAATAACTCTGATAGCGTCTCAACCTTCTTCTCATCGACGACGGTAGATCCTGGCGCTAGAGCTGATATCCCGAGGTGAAACGCATGAGGGTTTACAGGTCCGTCCGAGTTTGTTCCACTCATGGTGTAATCGCCAGCCAGTTCAGCAAGGACTTGGTGCCTGTCCGGATGTACGTAGGCCCATGTGTCTTTTTGCCCTGATGGTGTAGTAGACATGTAATCATGCGCCTGCTCCATTGACAGCCGTGAGCTTACGCGCAGCAGACTATCGGTGTTGAGATACTGCTTAGTATCTCCTTGAGATGGTTGCAAAGGAGGACTGTATTGTCCTACCGATGTATAAAGAGGAGGCGGGCTGTTTGGTAGGCTTGGAGGTGATGAGTATCCTTTGTTGAGTGTGTTGTAGCCCAAAGTGGCGTTGCCTGACTTGGTTTCCCTCTTATCGCTCAGTAAATGCGAAGCCGACTTTACGGGATCTGTGGTCCATATGTCTTGCGCGAACAATGCTTCGGTAAGGAGGGAGGTATTGTTCGTTGACCCAGTCTTATCAGCAGCATCGCGCCAGACGGTCTGGGGCTTGTCTTTCATGGTCATCTTGATTGCCATGTCCACTTTATGCCCACTGGTCACTCTTTGATGTCTCGATACGATGTCATCAAAGTAGGTCGTGTTCTGGTATGTCGGTAGATCCTGGCTGGTCGGTAAGTCCTCTAGCCGATTGAGGAAGCTCAAAACGTTCGATAATTGCTGATGACATGCCACAAGTTCGCTTTTGCGATCACCTAATCGTTCGCGGTCGTTGAGGATGTATCGGAGTCTTTGAGATTGGTCCAAGACATGAGGATGTTGTCCGACGTCGCCACAATCCACCCATTTTCCAATGTCCTCCAAAGCAGAAGTAGTATTCTCGATAGCACTTCTGATCCAAGGGAGTCTCTCGGGCGTATAGGCGAGCTTTGTCCGCACCGAACCAACAGCCACTAATCGCTCAACTTCGAAGAGATCGTCGCGAACGATGCGTATCGTTCGCAAGAAGACCTCACTCTCGCTCCCAACGTCTGCGCTACGTATCGCAAGGTCAGCGAACCTAAACGCTTTGCTGACACTAGCGGATCTTGTTGGTGCACCTATCACAAAGTAAGCACTGCGTCGCTACATGTTTCATCACTCTAATGTATTGTGTACATACCGATAGCTGTGTTCATCCTTGAGGCCTTGGCTGGAAATGGTGGTAAAATGTCAACTCATTGCCGACAGCTGATGTCTATACTCCTGCGGGGGCGCAGGTCGTGAATTACAAGTCCACGAATATGGCAGCTCGCCGGCGGGCGGCTCATAGACCCCCAATATTGGGTAAGCGATACAACAAAGCCTCAATCTGCAAGGCTAAGCACGCGGGCATTGCGGTACCCCTCATGCTGTGCTGCGGTGCCTCGAGAACCGATGAGCAGCTCGATGCTTCTTCCCACAGGCTCTGGTCATGCACCCATCCCTAAACATAGTTCGGCTATTCCAGCGGTCATATTATCGGACCAATACCTGATCGAAGCTCTTCGAACTATCTATATCGCACGGCTGAGTGACTGTTGTGTGTCTCACAAGGCGAAGGCTTGCAGATTGGACGAGAGCGAACATGACGCTCCTTTCCGCCAGTGGCACCAACGCTAAGACATATGAAGCATAGTGAAAAAGGAAACCTTAACCTCGTCTCCCAGCCTCGTCACTCTACCTAGCATCTCAGCTCACGACCCTTAGCAATAACCCGAAGGCGTCTCAGCCGCACGATCATTGCATTGTATACTGCACAAGCTATCCGCTAAACGCCATCTTCGCTTCATCGTCACGATGCTCATGTCGCAATCTCCTTTTCCAGCAGCACGCGCGGGGGCCCCAGCACCTGCCCCTGGTCTCCAATCGTTTGTACCAGGCCTGGAAATACTACCAAACCTCCATGTTCGCTCAAGAACTCAAATTTGAATGAACCAGGCTGTGAAAAGAGTAGGAACGCGAAGTTTGCAGATCGCGTCAGAATCATGTCCAGGTTCTTGCTGCGTTGAGCTTCCAAGCCACTCTGCACAAAGGGCGCCACAATAGAGTCCAGATCTGCAACCGCGATGGCAAATTTTTGCTTACGATCCGAGTCTTGTTTGTTCTGGCTAATTCGCTCATGCAGCAGAGTTCCAGTTACGGTTTTCCATTTGCTGTACATGGCTGATTGGGCTGATTCGTGGCTTTAGCTTCCCTTACCGAGTTGGTGAGGCTGAGATTAAACTTACCAGTATTGCTGCCATCCTTTCCTGGTATGACCATGTCGATTGCCGCAAGTTCTCGGGGCAGCAGGCTCTCATCGCGTCCTCCTGTACATCTCGATAGCACAATCCAGGCAAGAATGAGGCGAAGTGTCTCGGCTCTGGTTGAGGTGTTCGAAAGCATGCTTGCAAGTCTAGCAGAGCTTGTACCGGTTGCGGTTGCTAGTTGGCCCATATGTGCCTGACTGACACTGGCTGCCGGGATGGGAGAGAGATGATAATAGGTGCGAACGTGGTTCTTGATGTTGTCCCGTAGCTTCAAGACTGCGTCTGTGATAGTGTCGTCTGCCACGGGCTGGGGTAGCATATCGTCGATGTTCATTGCATACGCGCTGGTTACGGCTGTTGGTCCTTTCTCCAACGTTCTAGTAGCATCATTGATGGGCGCATGGGGTGCTGGTTGAGTCTGGACTAAGTTGTACCGCTTCTTCTTTTGACGGCGTAGTAAGAAGAAGAACACAGCTCCAGCGATCAGTAATCCGACGAGTAACATTGCGATAGCCACTCCGGCAACCGCACCTCCAGAAAGCCCTTTTTGAACCGACGATGGGCCATCCGAGACTTTAGGACCTCCACTTGCCGTGCTGTCAATCGCGGCAGGTTTACTAGCCACGGATGTGGGCGTGGAGGCAGCATTGTTTGTGGGTACAGCGGGGGCCGTAGCCGTAGGACACGGCACCAGCGTTGCGTTTGTCCAATACGGGGAACAGCTGGACGTGACATCACCTGGCTTGGGGGTTTGCGAGGCTATAGAAGCTACAGATGCAGAGGGGGGTGTTGTTGATGGCAGTGATGTCGATGACGGTGTTGATGATGGCGTTGCCGAGGGTGTTGTTCCTTCAGCTTGGCCCGGTGAAGGTGTTGCGCTCGACACTGAAATGGACGGCGCTGCTGAACTTCTTGCATCCTGCCTCTGCACGATTGCGCTCTTGAGATAAACCATCATGGGACTTCTGGAAATAATAGAAGAGCAAAGATACTGACACTGCTTCCGACCGAATTTGCGATGCTGCGCTATAAGTCGTCTGTACCGACGCTCGCTAGTACAGCCTGGTCAGAGATATGCACACCTCAGCTGTACTATAGCGCGGCAGACTACAGAATCCGATGATATTGGTTTTCGCCGGAATTGGTAAATGTTGACGAGGCAGAAACCAGCAACCCAGCGTCGAGCTGCATGAAGTGGGGTCCGAATGTAGGACTATCGAATGGTCATCGGTACGAGGTAATGTGGCGTACTCCGGCAGCGTCTCATTCCGTCGCACCAAACAAAATCTGTGCAACACCATCACATACGACGCGGCATCAAAGCGGGCCCCACGCTATGGATTTCTAGATCGGTGTCGACTTGTGGGCTGAGTTGAAGCGCGAGGCTGAGCTGGAAATATGTTGTTTGCGTCCAGAGACCAAGATCTATCGCATCTCGGCCTCACAGATCTTCAAAATCCAGAATTCATATATTCTTAGAATGACCATTGTTTGACTAAGAAACTGCACAAACATAACCCCAGTGGGATACAGTCACAGACTCATCATCAACCATTCTCACAACACATACGTTCACCATGGAAGGATTCCAGTCCCGGCCAGATCTGGTTGTATCCATTGATTTTGGGATGACATGTGAGTATAGACTTGTCGGTCGCCGATATCGCAATACTCATATCGCTATCAGGTACTGGTGTTGCGTATTGTAATGTAGCGACTGGATCTGATAGTGTTCGGCATATTCAGCGGTGGCCAGGAAGGACACAGGCAAACGAGAACAAAGTAAGGAATCGATCGCACGCCAAAGGACCTCAACTTACTCATTTCAGGTGCCAACATTGCTCGTATACCCACAAGACTCAGCAACACCGTCATCATGGGGCTTTCTAGCCGAAACCGCACAGGAAGCTAGTGGTGCTGGGTACGAGAGCCGGGAGTGGTTCAAGATTATGCTGGACGAGGACCTACTAGACCAGATGCGGAGAAAGTCCAGTGAGCCTAACAAAGTACCACACATACATGAAGTAGAGAAATGGTGAGTAAGTCGTCCAAATGTGCCTTTGTAATCGGTTAATCAATATCACAGGTACACTGATTACTTCCGATACCTATACCGTACCATTGAAGCACGACTACGAGGGGAGCTCGCGGGCCGATGGGAAGACGCGAACATCGAGTTCATCTTCTCGGTACCTACGACTTGGAAGCCGATACCAACTGTAGAGCGATTCAGGAAGACAATCTCGGCGGCTGGATTCGGCTCATGCGTCAACCACACGGCATCGATTGGGTTGACAGAAGCAGAGGCGGCTGCAGTGCACACAGCGCGCAGCATGCCAGGTATCTTCAAGGAGAACGAGATACTCTTTGTGTGCGACGTAGGCGGAGGAACAACAGATCTATCAGTCTTTCGCGTGAAGAATATACACGGTAGCTCTCTCAGTCTTGAGCAGATCGATGTAGTTTTCGGAGCCACTATCGGAGCCGCGCAACTCGACAGTTTATTCGAGAAGGAGGTGCTGCAGCGACTACAGCATGCAGACCGCCTGCAACCAATGGGACTAAATGATATCAATCAAGCTGCATGGGAGATGCGAATCTCGAAGGAATACCAGAACGCGAAGTGCGACTATGGTTCGGAGGAGTCTCTAATGGACACCGAGACTTTCGCAGTGCGAATACCTAAACTCGACAGAGGTTACGTAAACCGGGATTATGCCATCAGCGACGGAGACATGTACTTTCGAAGAGACGACTTGAAAGGTTTTTTCGACACTCAGGTATCGAAACTGTTTGACATGATGGACAAACAGCTCTCTCGTGTCCGACAGAAACATCCTACCGAACAAGTGTCTCATCTCGTCCTCAGTGGAGGCCTCGGTAACTCTGCATACGTCCAACATTGTTTACGAAGCCGATACGCATCTGGTAACACACCACACTCCAATGCACACAATATGCAGATCCGCATTGCTCCTGATCCTCAACTAGTTGTCTGCAAGGGCAATGTGGCTGATCGCGTTCAGAAACTCAAGACTGGACAGTCGGTTCTTGGATGGCGATGCAGCCGCGCATCTTACGGTACTATGTGTAAGATATTGTACGATCCTTACGACCCCGCGCATCAAGGAAGCAAGACCGAAGTGGATCCTCTGGACAAGAAAACGTATATCATGAACTGTATCGACTGGTTCATCAAGCAGGTAAAGCCCTTTGATAGCCTGGAATGATGGCAGACAGCTGATCAGCCTAGGGCGAACCCGTTTCAAGCGATCATCCGATAGTCAAGAGCTTTCAACGAAAGTGCCCGCCAGCCACGTCCAAGAATCCCAATCCGCCAAGGATTTACCCTACTGAGGTGATTTGTACTGAAGTCGACAGATCTCAGCTTCCGATAGTGATGAACAGTGGTACATACACCCTTGTTGCAATATGATGAGCCGTACTAATGATTCCAGCGTGTCGTTCGATCTGCAAGATCGAGTCAGACTTCTCATCCCTCCCACTTTCTCTCTTCAAACTGAAGAACCGACACTGGTGGAACTCCGGCCCGAAATACCATCGCATCAACTACATCGTCAAAGTAAACCTTGGTGCCGCCGATGTGTCTTTCGAACTATGGCACAATGGCGTCAAGTTGTCGAAAGACAACTCTATCAAGGTTGAATGGCAAGCGAGCGGGCCACCTGATCCGAATACGATGGCTGTTGCTCCCGACTTCCCGATGAATAGCCTGCCGGCAGTATCAAGTTACGGTGTGGCTCATGACCGTGCGAGGGGAGTAAACCGTGAAAGTAATGGTAGGATGGGGATGAATTGGGTAAGATGGGACAACAAGAGCGGTGTTCGAGCTCAGGTAATGCCCGCGCGGCAAAATCAGCCAAGGGTGTGGTAGGATAGTGTTATATTGCCATCTATATCGCTTTCCAGTGAGCATGCAAAGACGAGTGTTCATATTCCTCAAATCAATGTGCGTTCATTCGAGAAGACACGTCTACACAAATCTATGATGAGCCTACGAAAAGGGCATTCTGCGCATGCTTAAATCTGCTCAGCACCCTACGGACCGGCGCTGTTGAAATAACTCCATACTCGGTTGCTCTCGCGAAAAGAGGTATTGCAGGTGTCGGCCACTATGGCAAGCACGAAATTGCGAAAGGACGGTGCAAGTCGAGATCGATGTTGTTTGTGAGTTTCCGCTTGGTGTGCGTGTCATGCTTGCTTCGCTACAACTGTAGCGAGAAGCCGCTGTGGAATAGGTCCTAAGAATAGTGAGAGGCAATCCATTTACTCAGTCTATGGTATATACCATCAAAGCGTGTTAAACGCTCGGCTAGCATTTTTCGAAACCGGTTCATTCAATCAAGCATCCTTTGTCAGTCAATCCCCGCCATGCTAGTGTTGCGAAGGCAAACAACCCCGAACCGATCAAGACCCAAGGGAGCCAGTTCTTGAAGTCTGTTGTGTCTTCGTCTTCGACAGCGGCTGGTGGTGGCTGAAACAAAATGCTCCGACAGATGGGGCAGGTATGACCACCGGGCGAGTTGATGATTGTGAAAAGGCATGGGCGTCCCACAATATGATCACAGGGTCGGAAGCGTATGCCAGGGTGGCTGCTACCGTTGTAAGGTTCCCAGCAGTAGCAACATTTGTTATCGTTAAACTTGTCGGTGGCTTTTGCGAGGAGGATTCGTGTTTGAAGGAATTCTTCTTTCGTGATGCCGCGACGACCGAGGATGGTTTCAAGCATGATGTGGTTTGAGATGGGAACCTAATAGATTCAATTGATTTGAGAAAATATAGAATGTAAGTTGTGCGGCGAGGCTGAGTAAATGGTGGGTAGACGAGAGCGTGGTATAGCACTGGAGAGGTTCGGTACCGCGCAACCAGTCTTTCGAATCGGACGAATGAAAAGTGTACCACATGCGAAACTTGGTTGATAAGTGAGTGGATCTGCGAGATGTGGTTGGAAGTACAGCCACGGAATGGCTTATTAGTATGATGAACACAACAATATCCATTCTTTGAGTCATATCAGAGTAGACCTGGAAGATAGTCGACGCAACTTGCGAGAGCGATCTAGAATACAGTACACAGGAAATCTGTCTAGGATTCTTGTTCTTAAGCACGAACCATAATGGAAACCCATCGCTTCGTGAAAGTGCATGTGTGATAAGTCGATGCCGTGAGATGCCCGAAAAGACACCTGATCAGTATAAACCCACATGCTCCATCCGACAAGTATACCCGTCTGCTGCTTTACTGCAGATGTCAGACTTGTTCCGTACCATCTCACTATTCAATAGCTTTCTATCGGTGTCTCCCAAAATTATCTCCAAGTCCAGATTTTCCACCGACTCATAGGTCTCTACCGACTTCGAGATTTTCTACCCTACGGTTTCCAGCTTGTTGGTGGTTCTTAATAACAATCTTGAATACCATGGAAGCTGCTAACCAATGGAGCGTCAAAATCAGACCCGTGATCAATCCGAAGATAGCACAATCCCGCCGACTTTTGAGCTGACGGTGTGCGCCGTGCTTCAATAGAATGTAGACTTTGAACATGATCGACGTTACTGCACATACCAGAACTTCCTCGTGTAAGCTCAGGGAAGCCGCACCTATATTAATCGCGGTTGGTTTTGTTGTTCGAGTCGCAAGGTAGGAGCAAGTGAGAATCAAGAACCTGTCCCACTTTTCATGTCGTATCACCGGAGACATGGTAAAGGAACGCAAACCTGGGTTCCTTGCATATAGGCCGGTGAAAGCTCGGATCATGTAGTCGATTTGGTGATACACATTGCCTGCGTAGAATAAAAAGCGTCCTATGGACAGCACCCAAGGCGGAAGTTTAGCTTCGATCTTGTATAAGGTGAGCCTGATCGGAGTTAACAAATTCACTAAAGGGTTCACAAAGAAGCGATTGAGGAATTGTAACATGAGAGGCAGAGTATCGGTCCGGAACCATGGAGATCGACAGATAGGACAAAGATCACCGGTCGGGCCCTTGGTTATTTGTGGGAGACAGTCGCGTCCGAATACGTGGCCGCAAGTCCGCACGCGAGCAGCAGGATGGTCTTCGTCGTATGGGCCCCAGCCTAGGCGAGTTAGCATATGTATCATATTGCATTACCAAGTAGTACGTACACCAAATGCATTTGTTATCGTTGAACTTATCCTGGTCGCTAGCTCGAACGACATTAAACATGAGGAAAGTTGTTCTCGAGACACCGAAGATCTTGGTGAACATGATTGCTCTGGTCCGAGGAACTGGTCGAAACTTCGTTGAACGCCTTAGGGAGACGGGAGTAGTAATGCAGTTGCGTAATGGTAACGTGTAGAAGAATATGAATATTTAAAGGAGAGAATACAAGGAGGCCAGATATACCGAATAGCGAAGCAAACAGTCGTGTGAATTGCAAAGCGTAATCACTTCACAGCATGATCACAACATGCATGAACTGAGACCTGACGATCGGTAATGCATCAGTGATTGGTAAATCTTGGTTAAAGGAGGATTGCCCTCTGGAATGCATCGCGAGAAATCAACTCAGTCATCGAAGACGTCATAGCCACTTCGTGAGTCCAAGCAGATGTTGCTCCCGGTACCTCTAGACAGTAGGTGAGAGCAGGACAGGTAACGCGAAGGACAAGATGATGAGTGCGGCAAGCATACGAGGAGATGGACGGGTCCCACGTGGATTGGCGTCACGGGCGCAGTTTTAGCCGACGCTAGCGCGCCGGCGTGCGAGCTACAAAACCCCTCCAAAAATGTTTCTTGCTTCTACAACGGCCTGCCTTGCCAACGCTGCGTTTCTTTGCACACATACAGACTCTCCTCACGGAGCTCGTCCTACCCTGCAAATGAGAAATTCGGAGTAATCTTCACTATCATCAAGCCCTCTTGTGGCTGTACTGCTCGTAAGAGCCTGGCGTGACTCACGTCTGCATCCGGCATCAGAAAACTCAGGGCCCAGAAAGCGCGCTCCCACTTCGGTGGGAGTGTTGTGGAACTGGTGTCCCTATGGGAGTCGGTGCGAAGATTGTGTGCTTTGATCCTTTGGGAGAGAGGTGACACTGTAGTACAATACGCAGCGTACTTGACCTTGAGTAGCCCTTGGGCGAAAGAGGGCACGGTATCATTCGATTCTGATTACTCTGGCGAGGCAGGCCGTTCACTTTTTTTCACTATGTAAGTGCGCAATGTGCGCGATCTACTCCAGTTCAAGGATACTACTAACAAAAAACCATGCGAATTCACCAAACCTGAGCGACCACACGTTGCGCGATCCTCCATTCATCCTCCGCTAGAATTGTCTACTCTGGCTCTGATGCTGTGTCTTTCTCCATCGCGTACATGATGTCCGTCCGTAGCGTATACTTGGTGCCCTTCACAACGTCGTCACCAGAATGTATAAGGTAGCGATGCTGGAAGAGCAGGACGCGCCCAGCCTTTGGCTCAACGTCGATACGTTGGTTCATGCGACCGTTGAAGAATGTAGTGGCGCCGCCTTCGAGCTGCCTTTCCCCAGTGCTCAGTACTGCATCGTTCAGGTAAAGGTGCAGGGTGAAATATGAGCGCTCGGTGCGGTCTGGCGTCTCGTACGTGCCATCACAATGCGCTGACTCAGTTAGTAGCTACAATCTTAGAATCCAATGCAAAACATACCTTTGAAATACTCTCCACCAGTGTACTTGAGATAGCGTCCACGCTCATTCAGTCTCGTTACTTTCCAAGTCTCTCCTCGTTTCGCTGGACCATTGCCTGTGACAAGCGCCCAATTCTGCAAGCGATGGATTTCAGGCACCGACGCCTCTATTCTTTCCCATAACTTGGCCATGATGTCCTTATTGTCCCAGATGATCCGACCGCACTTTCTCGTGTCTTCATACATGGCTTGCATTCCGCCCCCAATGTTCACCATGGCTCTCTCCCACGTGCCGTTAGTAGTCGCTTCTGCTGCTTGTATTAAGGTGTTGCACTCGTCCTCAGACAGAACACCATCAAGTATGACGGCCCATGCATTCTCGTTCTCTAGTATTCCAGCCTTCCTGAAATCAATTTTGGACTTGGTTAAATTGGGCGCTGGGCCCTCGAGGAATCCATTGGGGAGGGCGAAAGTGGAAGGGGCAGGGCTGGACTCGACGGGTTCTCGACGTTTCTGAGTGCGAAGAAGATCCTCTTTGAAGCCCGCAGGCAATACTTTGTTAGCTGCCATTGTTGGTATTATTCGTGTAGTGAAACTTCGAATCACGCGCAAAGGAAACATTTATCAAAATCAAGTGCAGTGCTTGCGGCTATGTAAAGGTTGTGCCGGGCTGTGAAACCGGTCAAAGCCTCCTAAGGCTGCTGCCTTGGGGTGGCTTCGCCTCATGTGGACATCAAGTGGCTAATGTGCTGTCTGTGACTCTTGTTGGACATGTCCAGCAAGATCATGTGAGATTTCCTGTACAGGACTGCTCGTCTTATACACTGGTCGCACTCACAGAAGCAAGCAGTAGCTTCAAACGTCCACAGATCCCTCTACTGGATTTGAAAGACGATGATCGCCAAAAGGAAGTCCATGGCTTGTACAAGCGCATTGAGTTACGATGGCAGACGCGACTGTCTACTTTCTGAGAGCGCCCTCCAAGTTCCGTTCATCATCGTCCTCAACAGTTGCCATTCGAGGCTGTTGGTGAGTGATGGTGTGGCAGGGATCATCACGTGAAGATGGCAGTCGCGGCCCTTCTCGACCTGCCTCGCGTTTCAGGAACACGGACTGCATCATTCACGCCCCATCACCATCATCATCATCATCATCATCAGCAACACGCACAATTGATCCACGGGCTCATCCGAACGACTCGGACGCGCATAGGTAGCCGACGGCAGTTTCATGTGACTTGTTGCTTCTTATCGTCACCCCCCATCGTGCAGTGCGCGACTCAACTCCATCGCAAGCCACTGCGGCTCGCTCCACCAACCGTCGCGCCAAGCTAGAGGTGCCGACCTCACTCCTAATTTCCCGCCTTCACGCCAATTTGGACAACACGTCGAGGCGCACGCGACGCCCAGAACACACCTCTCCCCCACGGCCATACTCGTCGTCGCCTGCTTCTCTCCAACTCCCACCACGTCGTCCCTGGAGCTCCGACCAGCCCGACCGTCAAGCTCCCCGTCGTTCGCTCAGCAACCACAGCACTAGTCAAGCAAACACTCGCCGGCACGCCGGGCGCCAGCCCTACGCCAGACCCTGCGTCTATCGATAACTGCCATTATCCACGTCACAGCGACCATTGTCGCGCGCCTCTCGTTACCATAGTACATCCCCGGGCCGACAGCAATCATGTCTTACGAGGACCACCATGATGCCCAGTACCAACCCGGGCAAACGCGCAACCGTTTCCCAACGCTGTTCGAAGTGCTCAGTCGTAAGACGACAGCACCGCTAGACCTTTTCTCCTTCTACATCTACATGCGAGACCAGCAACGGTCTGTCGACTACTTGGACTTCTGGTAAGCCAACCACTCGGCGTCCGGGTCAGCGGATGAGGCTAACAACCATCAGGCTCGATGTATCGCAACACCTGCAGCTATGTCGGCTCTATGTGCGACGACTACACAGGAGCATGATTGAGGAGACACCAGATCTTGAGAGGAATTCCAAGCGTTCGTCCTACATATTGGACAACGCTGGAGAAGGCCCCTCTAACGAGAAAGCAGACAACATGTCTGACCAGCGCTTGTCTGCCTTTCTTCGTTCTGACCACCCAAGCCGAAACCACTCTCCACAGAACAGTCAGGGTAGCAATCAGAGCCGCGAGTTCCCGCGTCCAAGCCTGAATTTACTAGATACCCTGGGTGATTCGAGCTCGCCTGGCCAGAACTCATCCATTGACAATTCACAACCACGGAGAGAGGATTTGCGCGCATCGGCCGAGAAGATCTTGTACACCTATCTGCTTCCTGGCTCAGAGAGAGAAATCATCATTCCCCAGAGCATACTCGCCGAGGTACAAGAAGCCATTGAGGGACAGGAGCAGCGCGCCGATCCTGAGCTTTTCGATAATGCCAAAGACTACGTCTTCCAAGCCATGGAGCGCGACGCATATCCAGGTTTCCTACAGAACAAGGGCCTCGGCAACCTCGTTCCCCAGAGTATGATGCTGCGTCTTATCCTAGGTTTGATAAGCTTCTTCGCCGCTGTATGGACCTCGTTCATTCTCATCTTCTTGGACAAGTCAAGAGGAACACGCTGCTGGGTATGCAGTCCCCCGCTGTTTTGTTAGGAATGTCAACTAATGCTATACGCAGATCATACTTCCATTCACCATCGCTATCTATCTCATCTTCACACATCAGTACATGCTCGACCCCATCATCGCCATTGCCGGATACAGCGAGTACACCTTCTTCGACTTCAACAAGATTAGGGAGCCGTTTGTCAAGAAGACATTGAACAGGCGCTCGCTCACTGTCCTGGTTATGTTCTTGGCCGTCACAGTAGCTATTTGCTGCCTCTTCATCTTCGTTCCCGGTAAGCGCCTGTGATTCAAGGCGGTTACACGGTCGTTTCGTGGTATCCGATGTAATGTTTGTTTATTTTTCTGGTGTTTCCAGCTGCACAAAATGGGATCAGTCCCGGAGGCGGCGGAAGGAGAAGCGCGGAGGTAATTCAAGGACCAGCGGGGACATGGAGAAGATACCCCCTCGCTTCGTCGCCGTACGACCTACAGCAGGCTTTTCTTTTGTTTTTGAACCAAATCTTGAATTGAGCATGTTCTGGTTATGGAGGGCTGTTCTCAGTCTGGAGCATGGTGTTGGGGCGTTCATGATGAGGCATCCAACAGCGAGTCTCAATCGAGATAGAGCACCCAATATATGATAGTATTCTTCAACAATGCCCAGATGACATGTGAAAGTAGTCAAGCGCAAGATGTTTGGCGAGCCGTTGGCATGTGGAGTGGAGCTGCAAGGCTGCATGCACGCCAAGGCGCAATGACGTGAACCGCGGCCGGGTTTGACCAGGTGGAATTGTACCTCTACGTCCATCATCGGCCAAGGACGCGCCGCAACAGTCGCAGTGCGTCGCATCCCTATCCAATCACTTTGCCGAGCATCCACGATCAGCATCTCCCGGCTTTCAATTGCTCGTGACTGCGACATTGGCGGTGCCAACCTCTCGTTCAACTACGGCCACTAGCGGAGTGGATTGCAGCAGCCAGCAAAATGAGCGGACCAACAGCTAAGAGCAAGAGAGGGCCGACTGTGCTCATGACAGATGCCCGCGACACGGCACCTCGAGCACCCCAACGACCAGGCGTGGGGCAGAGACAGGCGACAGGCGCGCGATTGATCTCGGTCGACAACATCCTGCAGTACGCCTCGGACATTCCCTCACAACAGCAGCGACGCGGCCCGCCTGGCAGCCGACCCATGATGCACACGCGCACTCCCAGCGGACGGCATCCGCTCGATCCCAGACTCTCCGGTCGCCTGATACCCCAGCACATGCCCACCCGATCGAGCAAGCTCAGCGAAAAACTCGTGCTTCTGCCCGAGACAGCAGGACAGGAGGACGACGAGAAGGGCGACTTTGACGAAGACGAATACGAAGGCCCGCCCACAGACGAAGACCTTGCGCGACGGACCCCCAAAGGCGGTCCCAACGACAAGAGCTATGCAGAGCGTCTGCCCAAGGCCAAGCGGACGGACAAGCTCTCGCGCGTCACCGCCTACTGCACCGCCCAAGCCTACAAGATGAAGAGCACCGCCCAATTCGTAAAGGACACACACAATGCCCGCACCAAGCTGTACGACGACTGTCTCTACACCGTCTACCATCTCCCGCTGTTGCCCGGCAGCGACGGCTACCGGGTCCGCAGTAGCCCTGCGCTCAAGAGCCCGGGTGGAAAGACGGTGCTCGACGAAGAGATCGAGCGCAACGAGCAGCGCGACCACCACGAAGGCTACTTTGGCGATGAGGAGACCTACTACGTACGCGACGACCACGAGCTCGACCAACCCTGGGACGGCATGCACGATCGCCGAGACTCGACCGAGAATTCCAGAATTGCGCCCAACGCCCTGACCTTTGGCGAGATGTTCGTCTTCTCGTACGGCGTCGTAGTCTTTTGGAACTTCACCGAGAAGCAGGAGAAGGACATTCTGGCTGACCTCACATTTTCCGCTATTGCTACCGGCATCACCATCGCAACACGACCCTTGACCGAGTCCGACTTTGAAACTGAAGAGTTCCATTTTGAATACAACCCCGAAATTCAGCGCCCGCGTGTGTACAACGACATGATTACGCTCAAGAGCGGGGATCATATGATCAAGCTAGCCATGAGCCACGCCATTGCACAGAGCACCAAGCTAAGTCTCTTCGAGGAGGGTATGAGCCGGACCATGCTGGCTGCGCAATACGTACCCAAACGCTTAGCGTTGACGGGCAAATTGGGTATGGGCAGGACAGACGTGGTCAAGATGATTGGACAGCTCTTCACCAGCCGTGTGGAAGTGAACTTATGTACGTATCCAGTCCACTATTACAACCCCCATCCGTTACTAATGACTCTTGTAGCATCGAATATGCTCGACACTCCAAGCTTCTTCTGGGACTCGGAGCCTACCCTCCATCCGCTATATACCGCTGTGCGCGAATACCTCGAGATCAAACCCCGTATCCAAGTTCTCAACGAGCGCTGCCAGGTCTTCCTTGATCTGGGCGAGATACTATCTGATTCCATTAGCGATAAGAAGATGACCAAGATCACGTGGATTGTCATTGCGCTCATTGTGCTGAGTATCTGCATAACGTGTCTGGAAGTGCTCCTCCGATTCGCCATTCTGCAAAAGGGTAGGACTAATGTTCCTGTTGCTGGGGATATGGAAATTAGAGGGATTGGTGGACTCAAGGGAATTGGTCCGCCTGCCTATGCTGGGCCTGGCCTGCTCGCTGCGAGAAGTTTGGTTTGGGTCGGTAGTGGAGTCAAGGGTCTATTGGTCGGCTGAGTATGAGATGTGGTGCATGGCAAAGAAGGTGACTAGCTAATTGGGGCTATGGAGTCGTCATGCTAGGCATGATTCTTGGATTGTAATACTGTTGGGACCGTTCTTTTGTCATCTTCTTAAGCATTAGCGATGGGCGTTTCCTAACTGGCGCAAAAGGTATTACTGGGTCCTACTGACCCTTGGAATAGTTTTAAATTCTTTTCGATTTCTGAATCCCATCGTTTCTATTCATTCCTACCTTTTCACTACCAACCATGAGGCTGCAGACCTTCTTCCTCAACCCCCTCGCACTCACAGGCTACGTCCTTCCTTGCGTAGGCGCCCACAAAGAAAGCAAAGCCGACCGCATAGCAGACTTGCATAAGAACTTCGAACCCCACACATGGGAACAACAAATAGTAAACCGCATGGTATGTTGCGTTCATAAACATATTATACGTCAAGTGCAGACTAACTTTTCACGACGAAAATTTTTAGGTCTTTAATTACTCCCTCGATGATTTCATGGTCATGTGGAAGAGACGTGTGGGAGAGTACGGATATACTAATCTAAGCTGGTGGAGTGACGCCTGTACTGGTGTCGATGATTCGCCGTTTGGCTGGGACTGTAAGTTGTGCTTTTAATCCTGAGTCGGAATTATATGAGGTAAAAAAAAAAAAGACTAACATACCGAAACTCAGTCAAACCAGCTTGTATACGCCATGATTTCGCGTATGGGAACTTTCAGCTCCAGCATCGGCTCAGTCATGTAGGGTTTCCCCGATCTTTCCATGCCTGCTTTCATTGTCTTAATTTCCTGGATATATGACTAATAATGTTCTTAGGAAGCCCGTAAGAAAATCGACGTCCGCTTCAGGGACGACCTCTACTATATCTGTGAAAGACGTTCCAACACCAAGGCCTGCAGGGTGTCAGCCAAAATCTACTACGCCGGAGTCAGGATATGGGGGAAAAATCACGAGAATGCGTTTTTTACCATCAACGCTATTGTCGCCAACCATGCCCCCGTGAACGCTTCCGACAGTATCTCCATGACAGCTACCAGGATCAACACAACCTCCGAAAATACTACTACCATCAACACCACCCACACGAATACTGCTGGTCCCGACGATACACAAAGAGATATTTGTAGCAAAGAAAAAGTCGCTATCATGGCCTGGCTTGGCGAACTGACGCATGCAGAGCTGCTGATGGAAATGCCAGAGACGCATCTGGAGTATTTAAGCAAGTCACTCGATGACTGGACGGAAGTCATTGAGAGAGAGTGACACGAACAGGAGACTGTGCAAGCATAGGACGCGTAATTACGTCTGGATCTGTAATTGATCCATCGTGTTCGATAGAACGAGGGAGTGACTGCTAGACAAATCCCATCCTACCCTACTCCTTGTCCACAGCAAAAGCCTTCAAATCATCCATACTCACCCCTTTCAACGCCTTCTCATTCGTCGCTTTCATGACAACCTTGGGAACCTTCTTGTCATCCATGCCTGTCCTAGCATCAAACGCCTCTTTCCACCTGTTCACACAAAGGCACCATTTGCAGCCATCCGTAAGTCCTACTTGACGCAAGTCGTTGCCACGTGCGGCAGAGAAGTCGAGGAACTCTTTCGACACGATACCTGCTATGGCGTGGTTGCCAGCATCTGATGCGGGTACCTCACAGTAGCCTGAGCGGGTGAATCCAGTCAAAGGCTGTGTGGAGTGAAGTGCGAGGGGTTGCTTGAAAACTGGTGTAAAGCGTTAGTGAGTGAGTTTGTGGAACTGGGTCCTTGCGATTCGCAGCAACAAGGATGCGTTCATCGTAGAGGTCGCAAACAACCCCCCAGCTTCTCTCGTCGCACTGCATAAACGACGTGACGTTGGGGGCGCTGAAACGCGTGCCTGGAGATCTCTCCAGTCCAACGACGAAACTGTTTCATGCAAATGAACAGGATGCAGCCAGCCATGGTGTAACCGTTTGGACTCGAAACATCCGGAATGCCCAATGCACAGTTCTGATACATGGTTCCCCCCCAATACTCAATCACAACATGTACATACCGTTCAAAGACATATTGCCAGCTTCTTGCTCTTGCTTTTTCCCGTTCTGTGCCGGTACTCTTTCCCACTTGATCTGCACGTCGTGAACGTGAGCAAAGTCGCGTTTTGGAGCGTTACGTGTGAAATTGCTAATTAGATTGCGTAGGATCCGCATGAGGGAGAAGGAGAGCAAACGTAGGTTATACGTTTATGGTTCGTGAAATGTGGTGCTCAAGATGGCGTCAAGAAAGTGCTAAAGAGGAGATTTAGCGCGTAGGGCTGGATGGATGACGTTTGCCAGGGGTGCAGCTGCCGCAGATCCCCAGCCATGGGGTTGCCCGATCGGCTGTTACACCATGGTAGCCGCCGCACAGGTTTGCCGGGTTGCGGGCCTCGGAGGGGCGCGATCGGCAATGCGCTGATCTAGACTCTATGATGCGACTGCGAGGATCGGTGGGAGTGTCGAGTCTATTGCAGTAATTATTCCTACATGTCTTGAAATGTTAGGCGGAACTTTTCTGCAGGTTGCGGCCCTTTGATCGAATACGAAGCGTCTGGCGCTAGTGAGGTTTCGTCAGCACTCGTGGTCGCCAGTGGGTCATGGTGGCAATGTGCATTTGGGAGTTCACGTAATATTAGAAGACATTTGGTGGATTGTGTAAGACAGCATTGATTCGTGAGTATTCGAGATTCAGATGCTATACTGATGCGGAGGTTGTAAACAACTTTTTTTTTTACATGACCAACGGCATTAAAAACTCATCGCGGTCGTGAATGTAGCGAGCGATCATAACGACCCATACGTATTGATAGACGTAGAAAGAGAAATAACTATGCAAGACACCATATCCCCAATGCATCCTTCACAAGTCTTGCCGTACAAACGCCATTGATAGAAAAGATCCGAAACGCCTTTTTGGGTATGCAAATCGCCGCCATTCTCATGGGACTGGTAGGCCGTGGGTATATATGCAAGCTGTACTGTGGTAAATCATGCGCGCACTAGGCGCAGTGTCGTAGACGACAGGGTGGCGTGAGTCTTCATCGGTGCACGCCGGCACCAGACTTGATTTCTTTCTTCATCTCTTCAAGCTTCTTATGCATCTTTAGGAGGTCGTTCCTCTGTGCTTCAGTCGGCGGCTTCTCCGCTTCAGTCAGCTTCCAGTACAGCTCTTCGTATCTCTTGTAGTACTTCTGGAACTTCTGCGAAAGCTCGACAGTTTGGCGGAAACTCAAGCTGGGCATCGAGGGTGAGGTAGTCGAGGTTGATGAAGCGCCTGGAGATGCGCGAGGGTTATTGTGATGATAGCGCGAAGCAAGGCCGGTGTCGATGTTGGCAACCTTGCGGACCTTGGGCGCGGTAGAGGGGGTGTTGGACGAGGATGAATCGTCAGACTTGCGCTTCACGGAGCTGGTACTGGAAGGCGTAGAGCCAGTGGCTTTGCTGTTGGCATGCGAGGGTGTGTGGGTTGCAGTCGAACGGTCGACATGCTGCTTCTTTACGGCGAGGTGATTGTGGATATCACTGTCGATGTTGTTGGCCTTGCGCTTGAGCGAGCTATCCGAGTTGCCAGCAGCGGTTTTGGCGGGCGATGGAGCGGCAGCAAGAGCTTTGTGAACTGGGTGTGAGTCCTCAAAGTCGCTGGCATTTACAGGCGGTGAGGCGGAAAGCGGTGAAGGATTCTTCGGTTTGGTGTTGATTGGCATGGTAGGCTTGAAGGGCCTGTTGGTAGGACGGTCCCTCTGTGACTCGCGGCCAGACATCTTGGGCTTCGCACGTGGGTTGGAGTTGCCTTCAGGAGCAGATACTTTCTTGGTGCGAATTTCTGGAGCGTCAGTACCAGGCATGCTGGGCTTGGAAGGTGCGACAGGGCGAGGTGTTGAGCTCGAAGGTGCAGAAGTGGTTGGAGCGGTAGCCGTGGGCGCCTCCTTCACTTCTTTCACATTCACCGCGGCCTTTTGTTTCTCTTTCTCCTTCTCCTTCTCTTTCTCCCGAGCCAAGTACTTTTCCTTGATGGACGACTTGGGCTTGATCTCCGGCTCCTTTGCGACCTTGGGCTTCTTCTCGACCGCAGGCTTATCAGCAACCTTCTTTGCAACGGGCTTCTTCTTGGTAAGGTCTGAGATCTTGTGCATGGGAGTGCTTGCTTTGGCCTTGGGCTTGGCTTCTGGGGCCTTGACGGTTGAGCGCGACAGGCATATGCCCTGGCCTCGCTGGTCTCGAGGGAGCAGAATCTGCCAGAGTTTGTCGTCCTTGGCCAGGCGTTGGCGGTCAAAAGATTTGATTGCGCCATCAATGGCTTGCTGGCGGTCCTCAGGGCTCTGGTAGGGGAACTTGAAGGGGTTCACCTCGCGGAACGACTTGTCTGTCAGCTGCCACTTGTCGGCATCGGCCGTGGAGCGTTTGGCTATTTTGGGCAAGACATCCCTTATGATGGCCAAGGAGGTACGGCAGGTGGCGGCGAGAGAAGCTTCGGTGGCTGGCTCGCGAGCCAGGAGGTGGATGATGGGGACCCTCAGGGCGCTGACAATGGTGTCGTGGCTGTTGCTCGGCTGCGACGTGGGTGCGCGCTTGTGCATGGGCGAGGAAGCAGCGCTGAGCAGGGGCGAGCCCATCATGGAAGGACCGAGGTGTGCCTTGAAGCCCGTCGAAGGGAAGCGACGATGGGCTGGTGTGCGGCCGGGAGCAGCGTCGCCAACAATGGTCCTGCAGCAATCTTTGTCAGTCCTGGTATACACAACTTTGTCTCATCACGACATGCATCTGCGACAGGGGTGCTCGAGTGTTTCGACGTGATGTCAAAGAGCGTGGGCAGCCATGGGAATACCGGGGAGGCATACTTGTTGGCTTCCTTGAACTCTGATATCGCTGCCATGTTACTCCTGAGCTGCTCCAGCGCCGAGTCTACGCCTGCCGTCACATCTTCGGCCTTGTGTACCAGGAGGCTATGGTTGATCAGACCAGCAAACTCGAGGCTGTCGTCGCTACCAGTCCCGCTGGACTTGTACAGTTCGTATCGGTGGAGTTCGGTGCTGCTCTGCAGCATGTGCGTCTTGTCGCCGTACTTGAGTTGCTGTTGTTGTGGTTAGCCCAGCTCGCGCCTTTCCCAACCCCCAAGTCGAACCACGCATGACGGGGAGCATGGCATCAACTGTGCACACATACAGGAGTCCGTCCAAAGATGATCTGCGGCGATTTCCCGCTCCTGACGCTTTCTAGGAGCTCGTCGACAATGTCTTGGGTAATGTCCACCTGCATGGCCTGCACAGGCGGTTGTTTGCCGTCCTTAAGTCCGGCGTCGCTATCCGGAGCCCCGACAAGGGCAATGCCGCCCGAGGAAAGCATCGAGGTTGCCATGTTGCTATCGCTCGCCGTCTATCTTGTGAAGAGAGGTGGAACAGGCGTGAAGCTCGCACCCGAATGTTGCTAGGAGAAGCAATGCATGGAGAGAGCACCCAGGCACTGAGCGGAGAGCAAGCAGTGCTTCCGGGTTCGAGGCAGAGGCCCGTCGCAGAGGTCTGGTGTTTGGGTAAGGCGTTGGTAGGTTCGAGGAGGACGAAGGAACGAACAAAGGGCGCTCTCGGAGGACCGTCAGACAGGTCAGACTGTCACTGTCATAGCGCGCCCGGAATCCAGCGAGCAAGCGTGCACGGATATCAAGGTACGGTGCTGAAACGATTGGTTGACACGCAGAGGAGGATGAACGGCTGGGTGAACCAGACAATACTATCGCAGCAACAATACAGTCTACTCACAAACACGCACACGAGTGAAGAGTGGTAAGCTCGACGGAAGCTGAGCGGGTGGTAGTGTTGGGCGAGCTCGCATTCCTCAGAAGGCGGTGGTGCCGACCAGGGCGGTCGAGGCATAGCACGATTACGCTTCAGGGTGCCAAATCCAGCGGCGGCCCGCTTGCAAGGTACCTCGTGCTACCTCAATCTGTGGCCGCTGCAAGGCATTGCCATACACGCCCACTGGTCCATTTCGTTTTATTAAAACAGTCGTCCTCTTCATAAGACGCTTCAGTTCTCATTGCAGGCGAAAAAATCTACCTAGACCGCCAGTACTTGATTGCAGACGTCCATCTCCAGCACGTACTGCGCCATATGCCAACACGCTGACCGACCGACGCTGCACGGTGTGCTGAGTCTGGCAAAGCCTGGGCGGGCCCACCATCACTCGTGGCAGAACTGCGGGCAGCAAATGGCTATGCGTTTAAAAACGACGGGCGCGGAATTTGGGAGCCGGGTGCTCCAGGCAGGGTAGGGCATGTGCTGTACCTGTTTCGAGTCCGACCTGCCCTGTCCGTGTTTGAGACCAGAGCATTACCATGCCTCACGTTGGCCTGCAATTGCCTTCTCCATCTTGTCAGTGAGGCTTTCTCATCCACCAAGGCGCATCGCCTGACCAGAAAGAAACCTCACGGGTTGAGGCTTTCGGTTGGGGGCATCGCGTCACCCGCGCTGTCATCCGGCGTGGCGGGTTCGGTGCTGCTTAGATCAGCTTCATCGGGAGGCGCCATAACAGGGTCATCCAAGCCCGACCTATTTTGGTGTCTGCGGAACCATCCACCGAGAGTGGGGAGCTTTGCTTTCTCGAACGACTCACTTGTGAAAGCTACCATGGCATCATCGATACTGTAAATACGAGCAACTTGGCAAGCTTTCATGAGTGTCTCAAGTCGACTTGATCGTGAACTACTCTGCTCGACAAAGTTTCCATACGAGTCGTGCCATCCTTTCTCAACACCCCACCTCTAGCAGTCAGCCACACTCTTGCGACTACGACGAACCATTCCAACGAGTGTGCGCCAGCAGACAGGCCCGATTCTATGATTCGTAGAGCGTCGTCGGCTGCAGCGTCAGGCGATATGGTGGACACTAAACCATAGACTAGAATCCGTCCGCGTCGGAACCTCGCGTCCGGTTCGGCGGCCAGTAACAATAACCGAATGCGTGAGCGAACAGGTTACTCGACATGTGCATGAGCAACCACGGCCGCAGACTGAGCAGCAGCGTGTGTTTGTGGTTGCTTCCATGCTTCCACTCTCCCGAGCACCTGCAGCAATACCAACGCTGACCTGCATACAAAGTCCGTATCGCTTGATAGTGTTGCCTTTGTAACAAACACCGCAAGCAAACTGTGCGAACAGCTAATGCCAACGATCAGCATAGATCAGCTGTCAGTTCCGAGCACACCGGATATGCAGAGCGTCTTCCAATATGGGAAGCTTGCGCCTTCTGGAAGGTATCCGAGGCATAATATCTGCACCCCTGACCCCGTCTTCTGGCGATATTGCCGTTGCGAAGCCATGGCGGGGTACATAGATGAGGTACCACAAGCTTCCGTCACAAGATCATCAAATGTTCATTGAAGTTGCGTACAACGATGTCAGTGCTGTTGCTTTTCGATCAGTTTGCCCCTCGTTCGTGCAACGTTGTGTCGAAAAGCAACGCATTGAGAGAATCTGAGATCGAGATTGCAAGCCACCGATCTAGCCCTACAAAACAATTTTCCCAATCCCATTCAGCGACTATCCAAGACTACAGACAAGTGCACTGGGGAAATTGGGTATTCGCCTTCCATTTAATTCGTGTTACCCGATTGAACCGGGAGTGACCACCATCGGATCTATTCTATATCCTTGACAAATGAGGCTGATACCCACTCCGCAAATTCACTTTACTTTTCTCCGCGATTTGGCGGCACTGAAAGCCGCGCATCGCATCGATGACGGGATCTGAACAGCCCCTATATTGTACGATGAATTATTAACACAGAAAGTCTCGCCTCAGCGAAAAACAATGTGCAATCAAGACTACGTCAGCACAGTCGCAGATTACTCTTCTGCTACACGACTGCAGGTTCGTATCATTTCCTGGCTACGCGCGCGACGCATACGAGTCCTCGGGAGATTGGGCGCCGGACAGTGACAGCCACATCAGCCTTGCACTGGATGTCCTTTATTGCTCGTGCCAACCTATAGGCTTTCTGGCACGCCTCAACAGTTGCGGCGGTATTTTATGGCGTCTCACCCAGACCTTCCCATTCAGCCTTCCCAAGGCCGAGTTTTCCCAGCCTTCCAAGCCCACTGCCACACCACCATTTCAGAGCGCCATCATGCACGCGCTCCGACCCACCTAGTCTCTATTTAGAAGTCCATAACGCGTCACACAGCTTAGATGATGGTAGCGGATGCCATTTCGGCGTCTACTTTCATCACTGGGCCAAGTCTCACCGTTCGTCTAGAAGCTTTGAACATGTGGAAAAGCAAAGCAGGACTTAATGCCCTGATCGGCGATTTTAAGGTGATCAACTGATGTGCAGGTCGGGCCCTGGCGGCAGCGCTGGGCGCGTGGGCGTGTGGGCGCAAGTGCAAACTCCAAAGGTGTGTGACCCTGGTCTGATCCCGCGTCGAGCGGCAGTGGCGTGGGGCGAGCGATCTCGCTGGCGAGGCCACCATGGTTGGGTTGGAGACATGAGGCTCCCATGTTTTGTGCCCACAAGCAGTCATTATTCCCGCTATATTCCATACTCTGTTTGAATGGACAGTTGTGTTATGTTTGGTCACTACGGGTTTCTTGTGTGTTGGGGTGACGGCTAGAGATTGTGGTGCGATAAGCAGCCACTTGCCGCATAGTACTGCGACATCACTCAACAGAACATGGGCAACAAGACACGCTCTTAGTTGGAGATTTGTTGTAGGTATTCGTGAAAGTTGAAGACATAACGGACAGGACATGAGTATGAAGGACTGCAATCGTCATCTAACATTATCCTACGCCATCGCAATGCGAACCAATACAAAGCGCCTGGTGCAACTCCATGCCAAAGCCAAAAGACGTTCCGGAACGTCGAGGCCCTCGCTGTCTTGTGCGTGGACTCAGCCTTGGGGCGCACAGCTCGCCATTACAAGCCTTTTCGTGCCAGCGACAGTGACCAAAAAGCAAAGTTCGTTTCATAACCCGACCGCTGAGTGCCAGGCGCATATCGTCAAAGGTTGACGACAAGCATCTGGCCCGCGTTCAACGCCTCGCTCAAGATGCGCAACGACTGTGCCGTCAGGCGCGTGCCGGACCGAATGTCAGACGCACCGAGCCGTGAGGCAGCGCCGGATCAAAGTGGAAGTGGCGAAGGCACTCAGGCGTCCAGTTCCTCAGGTGCCTTGTGGCGTGCAAGAACGAGGCGCTTGTATTCGGCGGGGTCTTTGTCCCAGAGCTCTGCGGCCTGACCGTTGAGCGGACTTGAGCTGTTTCGCTGTCAGTCAGCACATTCAAACTCGAGCCTTGACCTGGACTCGTTGAATACTCACTTGTTTGGCTCCCCCAACAGACTCTGGAGACTCAGCAATACAGTCGTGATGTTGTAGATGGCGCTCCACTTGTCCTTCAAGATGTCCAAGCAGATGCGGCCCGAGAAGTCGACATTGGGGTGGTAGATGGGCGTCTTGTAGAGGACGGTCGGCGGGCTGTAGGGGTAGTTGCTGGCGAACTCCATGGACAGCTTGAAGACGAGGTTGGCGTAGGGTGTGTCGACTGGGCCGTCGATGGTGGCAGTCCACACGGTCATGTTTTCGTCGTCGGGAAAGGCGGTTATGCCGGGTGTGGGCTTGGTCATAATGTCCATGAGCTCCTTCTGGAGACTGAGAGGGCGTCAGTAGGAGAGCGAGGAGTGAGGTCTGGACTGGCGGGATATGGGACGACTGACCGCTGGGCGACATTCGCGTTTGCCATTTTGTGCGGGGTAACAATTGCGTTGGGGAGAAAGTAGGCGCGTGTGACGGTGATTTTATTCTATGCTGATGTCCAGACAGGTGGAAGGGGTGCGGGAGACAGCGAGTCTAATGCAGGCACGGCGTGTATTTGATGTTGTGTTGATTTCCCTGCGTCTGCCCGGCAACCGCGTCCGGACACGTGGGGATCCCTGCACGCGTTTCCCCCGCTCGCTGCTCGACACCTCACAGCCAATCAGAGCGCGTTGGGTTCGCGATCTTCCACACAAGTCGAGTGTCGCCCTTCCCGCCTTCGAGGTACAAGTAGTGAATGCAGCGTAGGAAGCATACAGCTATGCTAATCATTCTGTCAGAGTCATCTGCATGCACTTGAAACACGACAATCATCAGCTCGGCATCCGTGCCAGCAGTGTCAGTCTTCGTTCAATCCCTTGACCCTTTGCTCCTCTACCAGTCTTCTCTCCAAACTACACCTCAATACCCTCTTGTCTTTCCCTGTCCCTTGTTCCTTCAGACAGTCATCTTCCCTGTCCCAGTATACGGCCCAGCCATACCCACCCTTCTCCTCTTCCACAGCAACAAGGCACTCCTCCCCATCCAAAGTCAGTCCCTGTTCATCTTCCGTCCAATCCCACGGTCCAACTGTGTGTTTCTTCGCTTCTACACGTGGGCCGTAACGCAGTTCGCGCCTTGTCTTGTCTGCGTAGAGCCAATTGAGCTTGGGCTTCGAGGGCTTCGAGGGTGCCTTGTGAGCTATGGGGGATGGCGTAGAGGGTGCAGACGAAGCTGGCGATGAAGGTGGTGAAGGCTGTGATGCTGGTACCGTACTGACGAGACCAAGGACAGGTGCTGCAGGCATAGGACGGTGCGGCAGATCGGAAGACGGAAAGGGTAGATAGAATCCCGTGAAGGGGTGCGGTGCTGGCTCATCGTTTGGACCAGGCTTTGGCAAGCCTGTCTCCGCATCTTTGGGCCAGAGCCGTATCTACAAACTTGTTAGTCTTGTGCGCCGCGGAGCAGCTGTAGTCATGTACCTTTCCATCCTTCAGTACCACTATTGCGCCATGTACCTCGTCTCTCTTCCTACTCTTGGCGTCACAGAAAACATCTAGATAAAATTCTTCTTGACGCTCATCGCTTTCAGCTTCTTCATCCAGCAGCCGTTGCTGGTGTACTGCCTCGTTGGCGCCAATCGAGATGGGTATTCCCGCTAGTGTGAGCGCGTACATTGTTTAATTCACGTTGGTAGATAGTCAATGGGAGAAATGGCTGCACAGACAATGTGCTCGACGAATGTGGAAGACATGTTGTGCCTGGTTGTAGTAAACAGGATGTCAGGCTGCGCAAGCTGGGATGGGGAAGTGGAGTTCGGCACGATGTTGTCATAGTGGGACACCGCGAGTTCGGCTAAAGTTGCCATCCTGCTTGCTTCCTTCCTTCTTTCCTCCAGGGCTCAACACTCCTTTGCCAGCCCCGAGCGGCTACATTATACCTCACGCTGCATGTTGTATTTGAAAGATCACGGGTCTACATGCACTGCCTTTCGTCCTTAATCAGACGGCATATGTCTGCGGAGTAGGTGTATTAAGCACTTCCAAAACGTGCGTCACTTGTGAAGGACAATCTAGTCGTGTCGACTTGTCGATGACACAGTAAAGAGCCGCAGAGGAAGACGGAAACTACCCGCTTAGATGCGGCGTACGCTGCACAAGAGGCATACGTTTTCGGTTGAATTGAGAGCTTTTGAACTGCGACTTTCGTCATAACGTTTCACATATCACTTGACTGTGGTAAGAGCAAATGTATGAAATAGCAACTGCGAGCAGTACTTGAGAACCGAGCAATTGCCTCTGAAGTACAAGTGGAAAATGCGTTTGCCTACTCCTACCACTTACACGCTCTCTACACTCGCAACATACAACATTCATCGTTAACCTGTCTATCGTTATCCAAGCACGACACCACGTTGCACGGAATGGGCTCATCAGACGAGAATATTTCCGGTACGGAGCCTCTAAACGAGAATTCTTCGAACCAGGAGCCTTCAATCGAGGGAGCCTCGGAGCTGGAGACCCCGGAGCGGATACCACCAAGGCAAAATTCCTCGAGCATAGCACCATCAAGCATTCGGTCAGCGATATTACAACCAGTCAGTACACGCCACCTTTTGGGAGCGAAATCGGACGAGCCGCTCTTTCTACCTGCCAAAGCACCACGACGTTAGTACCTCGGCTATCTACATCACTGGAAAGAATACCAGCGTAATGTGATACACCATTGGGAGAGTGCAGGTTGCAAGGCGATTTTCGACGAACTCAAAGATCACGAAATGTATATGCCACGACCTGCAGCGAAAGTCGACGGCGAAGACATCGTCGCCGAAGAAAACGACACCGCCAATAAAGACAGCGCAGTTAGAGATGCCAGTGTCGCTAATGAAGACAACGGTGGTGAAGGTAACCTTGCTGGCGAAGACTACACAGGTTCTGCAAAATTGGAAGACATGTTTCGACGCGAGGTAGCGGAGATCGTGGAGATAGTCTACAACGAAATGCTTACTACACGGATGATGAAGCAATTGGGTGCTTATAGGCAACCAGAACGCATTCTACTTAGCAAAGCTTTGTTAGATCCCAAACTCGGGCCCAAATTCCGGTTTCGCGCGAGGCCTATAGGTCAGAATCTAGAGCCGAAGCCGAGACTGATCGGCCATGTAGAGTATTTGGGAGGAAGACCGGGAGCGTTGACCTGGGCCGTTGAGGAGGCGGGCAAGAACTCTTGGGGGAGTCTGAGATGCGTACTGGGTAGGTCAATGGTCCTCATATGAGGGTCCTTACTCACTATTGACATAGGAGATATAGCTTGGTGCATGTTGAAGATCAGCACAAGCTATGGTTTCCTCGTGAGCAGCGATGAGGTCATGTTTCTACGTCTCGATGTCAACACGTGTATTGAAGAGGTTGACATCAACATACTCCAACCTGAGCTGTCTCCACTATTCGACTGGGTCGATGTCCTGCAAGAGCCACATCTCTTCTACTCAGATCCCATCAAGTTTACCGATGCATTTGATTCAGCGGAGGGAAAGATTACGGTGAAGATGGGTTTGTTGCATATGATCCACGAAATCGTAGTCAAGGATTGGGAGTTGCAGGACAACAAAGGGAGATGCGCTGGGTATTTCAAGAGAACGGAGGCTGGAGAAAAATGGGTGATGAAGCCGCCGAGGAGACGGTAGGAGGTTGAGCGATACAATTAGGATGTCTAGAAATACAGAAAGTATGCTACTTGTGAGTCAATGATACTGGCGATACCCGACTGGCGCAACATTACGCTTCTCACCACCTCCTTGCAAGCGAGTGCTGTTGGGTGAAAGTCGAAATTGGTTTATTGTTGCCTCGGTGTTCACACATAGCCGGTCAGGAAGGTAGAAGCGAATCTTTTCCCGCCCATATCGAAAGCCTACCTATCCGCGCGTCTTATCTTGCTTGTGGCTTGCGTTGGGGTGTACCCAATTCCTTGGCCTCCCGCTCTGGCAGCGCGTTGCCTCGGAACTTATCTGCCTGCCAGCCAGCTGATTGGCAGCACTCGACAATCACAATATCGTGGGTGTGAAAGAAATGCATGGGATCGTCTGATCAATAGCGCCCAGCAAGACATGTCAAGACGATACATTGAGGCAGACAACAGTGCCTCGGCTTGACGCAAACGTGAGTTGGGATTGGTGGCAGCGACCGAGTTGTAGTGGTTGTGAAAGGTTTATGGGCTACAACCCAAGCTGTTGACGGTGCACATGTTGCATGCATGCGTGGAGCTAATCACGCGATATCGGTACTCTGGAAATCTGCATCTTGCAGGCCTCGGTTATTGAAATACTATCTCAATGCTGATTGGAGAGTCTCAGGGTCTCATCGGAGAGCCAGAATCTGGGGAAGATTACCGATCAGGCTCCCAAGCACCAGGTTACGATGCGATGATCGCCACGTTCCAATATTCTGGTAAAGGCTATCAGCAAAGTGTTCCTTCTAATTGTAATCCAGATGTGAGAAGAAGAGCGACTACATTGCATGCATGGGTGAACGGTCGACCCTATGGCGTACACGATGGATCACTTGGGCAGTTGTCATGAATGCGTTTTACTACAACATCTGGTACCCGATTTCATACATACATGAGATGCTTGCTTTGGCTTTCTTGCGTCTAAGTTGTGTTGTGTCAAAACATGTGTTCGTGTATATTGTATATCGCTGGTGGTGTGATTACGCCACGTCGTCAATGCTGCACACATGCAGAACATCCCTTGGTGTCAAGCCTAGTGACGGATAGCGAAGGAGTCGTAGGCGAACCCTTTGTGCCCGCGGCAGGTTCGCGACAGGATCTGCTGGTCTAGGCTGGAGGCGTTGTCAAAAGTCTAGTCCTTGTGCGCTTATTAGCCGAAAGTGTGCATGCATAGAGTTGTACTGCATCGTATTTTCTCACCAAGGATTCAGGCATTCGCGTCTTCTGGATCTAGTCCAATATTTCACCGTTCTTCCACAAGCTGAAGCACGTCTGCTTCGATTATCTCTGTTGATGCAACGTGAGGGACTCGGTTGTGTGCCTCAACCTCTTCCACTTGGTCGTCTTGCGGAGCTACGCGCACCGCAAGCGTCCGCAAAGAAATCTTGCTCTGTGTCAAGCATCCCGATAATGACCAGAATGACGCTGACAGTGTTCCGCCAAGTCGCCGGAGGCTTGGAACGGGAAATCAGTGCCAATGCCCCCTTGCTCGGATGCGGCTCGAAACCACATGCGCTGCGAAGCAGGCCGGAGGAGTTGCCTGCTCGGGACAAGGTCTGGAGAGGAAAATGTGCCCATGTGGAGTTCTTACAGCGCCAGGGACGCCTGGTTACCCCGCGCGTGTTGTTGAAACGTGGTGATGCCGATCGCTTAATCTCTGGGTTGCACGACATTGAAACTGAACAAAGGAAGTGAATGTGAGTCGGTCCTTGTCGACTCTTCAGCTCTTGTTCCTGTGCGTAGTTCCGCCATGGCGGGCGACAAGAGACTAGTAGCATACTCACAAGAAGGCTTCTCTTGTAGGTCATTTGGCTTGTTGTGGATCCGGAACGAACGGCGGCATTCGCTAGGATGCGGGGTCTCCACACGCCAAGCCTCTCCCCAGCTTTCCTCGCCCTTTTGGCTTTGTCCCGCAGATTTCCCTCTCCTGTTGGCAGGCTGATGCTAGGATCGTGCGGTCCTCAAAAGGTAGCCACAGAGCACCCCGGACGAATGAGTGGTGAATCCCCGTGCCTCGGTACTTTACCAGCAGTGATGCTTCCCTTCCCAATGCGCCCACTGTGCTTGGCAGCGCGTGGGTGGGGAGGCGAACGGCAAGAGCTTTGGACATATAACGTGTATATGGTGGGCCTACCCTGCTCCTGCTCGAACTCACTACATTCCCTCCTACTTTCCTAAGGGTCCACGACCAACCTACGTATCCACCATGGCTCATCAAGAGTCTGTCATGCGTCACGACGACGCGTTCGAGAAGAGGCCGGTCTCGCTCAAGGAAAACATCGATGGCTCCCAAGATGGCTCCGGATACGAATGCGAGTTTAGTGAGCGAGAGCAGAGAAAGATCATTCATCGCATCGACCGGCGTCTTGTCGTGACTGTGGGAGTGCTGTACTGCATCAGTTTGATGGACCGTACCAATCTCAGCGCTGCTGCTATCGCTGGGTTCGTCAATTGTAGACCCGAAGTTGCTCGACGTAGAAGCTGACAGCCAACAGTATGAATGTCGAGCTTGGCCTGGGCAAGCTAGAAGGCACAATATCTCGTTACTCTGTCGTCACCATCGTATTCTTCGCTTCCTACATCGTTTTCCAACCCCCGGCAACAGTAATTTGTCGCTACCTTGGACCTAGGAACTTCCTCTCGGTTATTGTGGTGCTATGGGGTGGTGTCATGATCGGCATGGGCTTTGCAGACAGTTATGGAACCATGTCTGCACTACGAGTTGTCCTTGGAGTACTGGAAGCCGGTTTCTTCCCAAGCTGTGTATACTTGCTGTCCACCTGGTGTAAGCGTGTCATAGAAACCGACTGGACATTAGATGCTGACAATTGTTTCAGATACCCGATACGACATCGGAAAGCGGTATTCGTGTTTCTATATCCTTGGAAGTCTGGCATCTGCTTGTGCCGGTATCCTGGCGTACGGCTTGATGCAACTGAAAGGCCGAGAGGGTCTGAACGGTTGGCGATGTAAGTTGTCATCAGGTTGCGCCTTACGTTATGACAACACTGACGCAAAGTTCCAAAATTAGGGATCTTCATCATTGAAGGCGCGCTAACGTGCTTTCTTGGTATCGTCGGTTACTGGGCACTGGTTGATTTCCCGGACAAGGCGCATAAGTCGTGGAACTTCCTGACTGAGCGTGAAGCTATGTACATCATCGACCGTGTCAACAAGGATCGTGGTGATGCTAAGCCCGAGCCATGGTCTTTGGCCAAGTTCTTCAAGGGCGGTGCTGATATCAAAATCTGGGGATTCGCGATGGTATGTCCTCAGATTACCGTTTAAGTGCCAAATATTGACAAGGATAGATCTTCTTCAACACAACGACTGTTACGTATGCGCTGGCGTACTTCCTGCCCATCATTCTGACAGGAAACATGGGCTTCAGCGTCGGCGCAGCCCAATGTCTTGTTGCGCCTCCTTACGCATTTGCCGCCATTGTCATGTACACAACCGGCTGGCTTGGAGACAAGTACCACCTCCGTGGACCCATTATTCTGTTCAACATGGTCCTCTGCCTCGTCGGACTACCCATTATGGGCTTCCATAGCAACTCGAACGTCAGGTACTTCGGCGTCTTCCTGACCACTGCTGGCGCGAACAGCAACATCCCCGCCACAATGTCATACCAGGCAAACAACATCAGAGGCCAGTGGAAGCGCGCATTCTGTTCTGCCATCTTGGTTGGAATGGGCGGCGTCGGCGGCATCGCTGGTGGTCTCGTCTTCAGGGAACAAGACAAGCCCGGATATGAGCCTGGACTATACGCCTGCATCGCATGCTGCCTGCTTACAATCGTTATTGTCATTCTAATAACGTTGAGGTCGTGGAGCTTGAACAAGCGTGCGGATCGGGGTGAGCTTGAGCTAGAGTACAACGTATGTGCCTTCCATTCACAACCTCTGCGCCCAGATACTAATATGTGCACAGGATGGCGACCAGAAGGGCTTCAGATACACTTACTAAAGTCGCACCAAGCGTGACCGATACAGTAATGACGATGCTCGTGGTGAACCCTGGGATTTACGTCGTTGGACCAATCTTCCAAAGCGGACTACTTTACCAGTTTATCCTAGCATCCAAATATTAACGATATCATGTTCCATTCTTTCGCGTTCTGCGGCACATGCCTTGTGAAACACTTAGATACTGCTTGAGTGTGATCGATTTTTGGACTAGCAAAGCTGCGAAAGTGCTCGTTCATCGCAAAAGGTGCTCTCGCGATTTTGGCATGGCTATATGATGCTCAAGCAGCCTCGGGATCAGTAATCCGCTTCTTGGTGTTCTCGGCGCGCAAGCAGTACTGGCTGCTTCTGGCTGAGCACCCCAGACCCATACGATGAAGTAGTAATCATTACAGGCGCTCGGGATACAAATCACCCGAATAGACGCGTACAGCGCCAGCGATACGATCTCACCCACTATCACGTGGGCATTCGTAGCGACTAAGTTACTGTTTCGTCATTAATTGACCCTATGTCCTCCCAACCATTCATTCATTCTTTACGACAAACTCCGCCTAATTAGGACAGCTGACAGTCTTCCAGAGTCCGCCATCAAGCTGTATCATGCATTCACTCTTACCACCACCAAAATCGCCACTCACAAACACTATAGAATCATTCAGCATTCATCGAGACAACTTGTAATAAGTTCCAACGGACCTACTAATACAGCAGCATACGCTGCAGTGGTCGCGAAAACTTCTGATCGCCTGGCGTTGGTACAAAGCCCAACACTCATCGCGAACAGTATTGTGTACAACGCTAGCAATCCTAGCTTTGCTTTGGGGTTAATCACGAAGTACAGACTCGAGATTGCTCCAACAAGGAGGATCGCAGCAAGAACCATGCTTATTGCAGCCACGACTCGAGCGACGTGTGTGTCTTTGTACACTGTTGCTCTATCAATCGAATCATCTGACTGACTTCTGGTGAAGAGCCAATGGTTCCTTAGCGAGCGCGACAGGTAGTCATGATTGGTAGGCTTTTGTAAAGCGACAAGATCTGATGCTTCATCCAGGAACTTGCTAGCACGGCCGTATATGAGGTCCATGGAGTCGTCTCCTGCATTTGCAATGGCTTTTCCAGAGAGGAAATCCTTGTAAGTTGTCAAGATCCGATCACTCGGTTTGCCTAATTGAGCGACTTGGGCTCGTAGAACAAGCGCTTCGTCTGGCGAACACGTTAGCATACGACAGCTGAAAGTGATCGTTCGCACCGACAGTAATCTTTCAACAACTCTTGTGACTCCTTGAGCTTGTCCGTCAGCTGCTTTTCAAGACTATTTGGTTCGGTTGTCGCCCTCTTCCAGAGGACTTCCCATCGTTGGAGCGATCGGCGAGTGTCCAGACTTGTCGCTGTTCGAATCTGCTCATCCAAGTCGTCGATCTCGCCTTCGATCCTAGTCATCTGACACTGCAAGTGCAATATGTTGCGTGCTGCAACTCTCCCAAACTTGCGGAATAAGAGTGGGTCGTCGTCGGGATCCTGAGCTATCCATCTGGCCAGCGCCGGGTAACCATCTCTGACCCTGCCGAGTTCTAGGTCCGCAGGCAAAACAATAGGCGTCATAGTGGTAGAATGCGCTTGACTTTTGACTGTGTTGACCTGATTTAAGATGCTTTGTTCGCTGTCAATCTACCCTTAGCCGATTGAAGCGCGGTAAAACATCCAGATTGATAGGAAATCAGCTGTACATCTGTGGCTGTGCAGCATATGCAGGAGGACTCAGCTCATGCGTTCATAGCGCAGCTATCACTGGGGGCGGAGTTGGGGCGGAGTTCAACTACTGATAAGGCCATGAGCACTACACCTTCATACACAGGCTCTGATATTTATCCTCCCATCGCGTCGGAATTTGACACAATACATCAAAGTTCCACAATCGCTTCTACGAACGACCACTGCTAGTGCTTACACCTCACCCTGAGCGCTGCGTGGGCATGTTCTTCCCTAACCGAGACGATCTCGCAGCAGCTAACTACTTTTAGATCCAAGACCTACCACTCTTACGATGAGCCTCAACATCCCATCCTATCGTAATGTTGAGTTCCTTATGAACAAAGATTCTCCACCAAATCGGGCATTTTGCGAAACCACACGTCGCAACCGCGAGGAGGACAGGATCGATAGCCTGCCTCGCGCACTACAGTCTGCTGCTTGGCTCGAAGAGATGAAACGACGGGCGCTATGGGACAGCCAAAGTGACGACGATCAACGAAGTACTCAGGCTTCTAGGTTATTGAGTTGAGATACGCTGTTATGTTTTCGAAGTTCAGACGCACTAGCTGCGTCGTATGAGTAGACTTGGGAATCTTTCACTGGAGTAGGCCATGGTATCTGTCAATTACCGTTTTGCAGTTTGCAACGTAGTATCATTACAAAATCCTCTAGGGAAGCTAATGCAATGCTTGGCGTTAACTCCCGCTGTACAAATGCGCATCAAGCCTGCCAAATGCAAGTAACAAATGTGAACCCTTCTGATACATCGCCAATAGCAGCCAAACTCCACTCTTGATTTACAAACGTTCCAAAAAAAACATGACACGAGAGAAGAGGAATATAGGTATCAAAGTATCAGCTCCAAAAGCGTGTTCTGACGCCAAATTACTAGTAGGATTTGTATTTCTGCGTACACGTTAGTTAATTCTCTTTCCAGCAACGTGATCACCAAACTTACGTCGCCAATCTTACGTCTAGACCCCGCATCAAGTGCGTTACCAACGCCTAACAAGGCATTACTCAGCGCTTTCGTAGCACCAAGTGCGGGCCGTAATATGACAGTTGGGGCATGTCGAGCTAGCGCCCTTGCAACACCAGTTCCACTACCCTCTTCCATCACCTCTGCAGGTATCGCTATTACTGCGTCGCGAGCAGTAAGCAAGTCACGCTCAAGGTGCCGAGCTGCACTACGGAGACCAGCGCGCACACCAATTGGCTGGTTAGCGTAGTTGGATACGGCGCGTGGCTCCTCGGTGTCAGAATTCGGATCTTCGCCGTCCCAGTCGAGAGACTGATGACCACTCGGCGAGGCAGTCTGCGGGTTTAGGAACACCTCAGCGCCTTCGAGTAGGTTCTGAGTACCGATTGCTACCTTTGCGCCCAGACGTGCCACCTCCGATGTGGTGTTTCTGGCGAACGCGTACACGCCCTTCTGTAAACTTCGAACGATCCGACCGTCCTTCTTGTACTCGCGCATAGGCACCACCACGAGGTCTTTGAGGCTAGATCCGACATTCACGAGGGGGCGTACAGCTGCCAAGCCCGATAATACACCCGGTAGCTGGTTATTAATCACATCCGGCATCCAGACATCGTTCAAAGTCTGGTGCAGCTTGTCGAACGATGTAATTCCATACACAATAGCATGGCGCAAGATGATATCCGAACCATCTAGTATCAGGAAGTTTTTGAATTCGGTTGTGTGTCCGGATCGAATACTGCGATAGTCGACACGCTTGGGTTTGTAGTCTAGCTTCATGTGGACCGCCATCACCTCCAGTCGCTGGATGAAGGGCTGATCACCAGCTGGGGTACTAGCAGGTGCCGTTTCGTCTTTGAATTCGAAGAAACGTGTGATGAACTCCAATGCATCTTGGTCGACATGCAAGCGGAGTGGAAGTACGTTTACCTTTCTGTCGCATTAGCGAAGGCTGAAAGTTTCAAAGTTCAGCAGAGCTTACCTTGATGACGAGTTCAGATGCAGCCAGATCAGTGACTGGCTTGACTGTTACGAGTTCGAGATTGATCATTGGACGGATGAGTTCCCTCATATCTGGATCTATGGCACATGTGATGAATTTGTGCCATGAGGAGGTAGGGACATGGTCGTAAACCTCGAGATCTTGCACGCGGACGTTGACGGAATTAATCGTTTCCCCTGTGTCGGGCGGAAATACGACAAAGTCGACGGCGACGCCCTTCAGTGAGAACGCAATCTTCTTGTGTTTGCTGCGCTGAAGCTTGAGACGACGCCTAGACTTGGTCGCACTGCGGGGCCGTACGGTAGCTCCTGTAGAACGTGTTGCTGTCGAAGTTGCATAGCTACCCGTTTCGCTGGCAAGATCGTCGATTTCGTGGTTGATGCGCCGAGCAAGAGCTCCCTTCTCCTCCTTGATGGGTACACCAATCCAAACAGAATTGAAGAGGAAGTCTTCTTCAACAAAGTCATCATCGTCATCTTCTTCTCTTGCTTTGCGTCGTCGTTCCTCTGCGCGAGCCTCTACATCGTCCACGGCTTGAGTGATGATACTTCGTGTTCGAGGCCAGTCGTAGCCATCGTATAAATTCCAGATAATATTGACGTCGCGCACACGCACTTTTAGCGGTGCATCTGGAGTCTTGAACTCGTTCGAGAGATGGTATTGGTTCTTAGCAGAATCCCATTTGCGGGCTTTACCCTTTGGTTCCACTTTTGACTCCCCAAAGTATTCGTCGCTGAAATCGAAATCTTCTTCGCCTTGAGTGATCTCGTACTTCTCCTGGAAGCTTTCCAAAAGAGCTCGGTCACCACGTTGGCGAGTCATGGGTGGCGTAGCCAAAGCGCTGAGGTCGTCCTCACCAAGTAGGCTGTCGCCCATCTCCTCGTGTGTAGGCAAAGACTGTGAGTTATAGATGCTCCCAACGAACTCAAGGTTGGTTGGTACATCGTCCTCAACTAGATCGGCATTGCTCATGAAGTCGACAGCGCCAGTCTCTTCGTCTTCGATCAATTCGTCGCCAGTGAACGACTCCATCATTTGCTGTAGAGGTACCACAGTCCGATATTGTTCAGCGGTAGAAGGTGCCATTGGTGGCTGTAGGCCGTTCAGGATTGTGATGAGGGTCTGCGTAGAATCTGCACATGATTCAATGACAAACAACTCATTCTTGAACTCAACGTCCACCAACTGTGGCCTTTCCTTCCCATCGCCTCTAATGTTGACATACACCTTAGCCGCCGCAATCGAGCTCAAAGACACGTAGCCTAACTTGCTGAGTTCCAGAAGATGACTGTTTGTAGAAGGAAAAGGTGAAGCCGACTCGTGCTCCTCCTCCAGACGCGCTATGTCATCTATAGCATGCATCGAAGCCTTCCGAAGGTCTACCGTAACAGAGTAGTCATCCATTGCTTGCTTGCCCACAACATGTGCCTCTGTAAGCACAAATAAACCTTTAGAGGATGACTTTCGAGGATTCAGACCGATTGCGCAATTCCTCAGCAGCAGGTCGACCTGTAGCGGCTGAGGAGTGACTGTCGCAGGCGAACTTACTTGGGAGGATTGTCGACTAAGGCTTTGGGGCGGAGAGGCACCTGTGATAGTTGCGACGCTCGATGCCAGGCCCTGAGCAAGACTGTCAACCGTGCCATCCTCAGATATCCCTAAGGCTGCCATGATAGTGCTGACTCGGTATTCAACACAGAGGTTGAAAAACTTCACCTTCGCCATGGGCTCCATCTCATCACCCACCATTCTTAGCATGATGACAGGTAATTGTTCCGATGGGCGGAGTTTGACCACTTCGTGGATCAACACTTCGGTCTCCCTACTAACAGTTGCATTGCCAACTTCAACAGCCAGCAAAGCCGGAACACCAATTTGTGCTAGTGCAGCCTCTCGCAGAATGACAGACACGTTACCAAGCTTCTCATTCACCATGACCCGGGCGTCCAGCTGCTTCACTGATACAAGGCTGAGAAGGCCTGGTCGATCGTCATCCGGCAGGTATTTTGTGACCTTCGACAACCGCGCTAGCTCTACACCAAGACTTTCTAACGTCCTCAGTTCTTGGATGTCCGAAACCCAAATTCCGACTTCGCTGGTCTCGACTCGGAGCACTGAGCCCTTCCTGCGCTGGCGCAGTAGTGTCTCGATTAGAATGTCGTCGTTGTTTTCGTAAGGATTCTTTGATGGCGTGATCAGGGAGATCAGTCTCGCTAGGTCGGTCTCTTCGGGTTCGAAAAGGAAACTGATCGTAGTGCCCTTCACTTCTGCAGCGAAAGGTGCAGTTTTGCTGGTCTCTTCTGTGTAGGGACCAGAGAGCTGGATCTCGGAAACCTTGAGACGCACGTTGCTTTGCCGTACAGCAATTCGCACGGATGTCGTCTGCAGCTGCATAGAACATGCCTTCCCCTTGAGCGTGAAGGAGACCTCTCCGAATTGGACCTGGATCTTAGGAGGATTTGCAGCTGGTGGCGGTGATTTGACGGGCGGATGCAAACCATCACCAAAATGGACGCCACGAGGACGAGGGCGTGCTGGAGACATGACTGGACTCTGAACGGTGCTAGTCGAATTCATAGAGCTGCTCAATTCAAGCATGCCACTAAAACCTCCGAAAGAACCGAGCGCTGTGTCCAGCTTCTGAATATCGAACATGACTTTGACGGGTCGTGTAACGACGGTGATGCGAGTGTCTTTGCCCTGCTCTATCTCAACTTCTATGTCATGGCTGGGCTGTTCTGGCATGACATTGGCTGAGCGTCTGGATCTTGGTCGTGAACTGCGGAAAGAAATGATATCGTTATCCAAGGATGCGAGCACGAATTTACCGATCCGGATTTGTGACCGTGCAGTAGAGCCGCTGCTCTGACTGTTGAGATGTATTGCTGAAAGATTGATCCTCAGAATCGCATCCATCGGTTTGAGATCGAGTTGCTGGTTCGTGACTGGTCCTTCTTGGAAAGACTCTGTCAAGATGTTTTCCAGCCACGATATCGCAATATGCTTAACAGAGACTTCGAGACTACTAGCGGAATTCTTTCCAGCTTCTGTCGGTTCGGGTGCTACAACTTTCTTTTCCGAAAGCGGCTCACCACTCACAGCTTGCATAAGCCGAGCAAACATGCCAGCCATGATACGACCAGTTGAAATGTCCATGTGCCCTGCTATGTTGCCCACGTCAACAATAATGGAAGGCACATATGTCGGCTTCGACTGTGTTGGTGGTTGGGGTGCGTGTGGTGCTTCCGGAGTGGGTCGTCCGCGAGATGATGCATCTAACGAGGGCTTTTGTCGATGTGAGGAAGCGTAAGCATAGTTGGAGAACGACCCCGGCATCTCGGCAAAGATTGAATCTTCACCCAAATTGGAAGGCTTGAAGTCCAGTCCTACTGTCTGCGTGGCACCTTCATTTGTATCGCCGCTGCTCTCTTCATCGTCAAGGACTAGAGGGAACCAGACAGTAATCTCATCGATGGAGAGGAAACGCCTCGCTTGTTTTCGAAAAGCGGAAGCGTCAGGCTTAGGGGTATAGGGACGATCGGAGTTTGGCAGTAAGATTGAACTCTGTCGGCTTCTCGGGCGAGGGGTCTCGCAACCTTCGTCTGTCTCGGGCAAAGGCGCTAGTATGCTCCCTGATATCATGTCCTGTGGTATCGATTTGGAGGTATCTGAACTTGAATCTCTGCTGGAAACTGGGGATGAGTCCCAGCCTCCAGGTACATGCGCCGGGTGGGCGCTATCACCTGCGTTTCCGCTTACGGCGCTCATATACATGCTCTCGGCCTCATCGTGCGTGAAATATTTGGACTCGGCCATGTCTTCTTCAGGTGATGGTGATGGTGATGGTAATGAGTCGAACTGCTGATGTGGACTATCGAAAGAGACTTGCGCTTCCTCATCTGTGTGCTCTTTCGCTGAAGCTAGATTGTCAGTAGAGGAGGAGGCTGCTTCACCGTGCCTCGATTCAGCTGGGGAGTGGGTCGAACTTGGCACATGAAAAGAGCGGCCGAGAGCAGACACAGTAGGTAAGTCCGATAGCGAGGCATCGCTAGCCGCTCCTGAATGGTGAGTGTACCGACTTGAGCTTGCACCATCCAGCCCCCAAGTTCTATCTTCTGACGGTCGTCCAATTTCCGGCGTGTCATCGAATTGGGGGTCGAGCATATTATTCTGCATGGCGTATTCAAGCAAGCCTTCGTCGTCGTAAAGTACGCTGCTTCCATCCAGACCATGCACAGGTGAAAGTCGATCAGTTTGATCGGGTAAGCCACCCGCAGCACGCAGATCCAGGCCATCATCGGAATTAGCATCTGCAAAACGATCGTCGTCTACGGTATGTACAGATGATTCCAGTATTGTCGGTTCAGGAGATTTAGGATGCTCTGGGGACACAGTCCTTTCGCGAGAGTATGTCTCGTCCCCTTGCGTCGGCGAGGCTATTGAACTAGAAAGCATCTCTTCGTCTACCGGCAATTGCGTGGAGCTAATTCCTTCCTCTTGCATAAACTGGCTAGACTGTACGAACTGACTTGGTTCAGCAGATTGGCTACAATGCATAGGCAGGCCCTGTACACTGCTCGTTGCAGGGTTGCTGGCGGTCTCTTGGCTCATTGACACTTCAGATCGGATTGTGATCGGAGACGATGGTTGTGAGAGTCCCGATGAAGACGCGTAGTTCTCGACATCAGATACCAAGCGTCCGCAGATGTTTTCCACACGCATTCTTCGCTTACCTAGCTTGGTGTTATCGAGTGACGGTGCTGCTGACCCGATCTCGACGCGCATGTCTTTGGAAGTTATTGAATCAATCGCTATGCGCTCGACGTGGAAGCTGAGAGATACTGGAGAGTTCTGATTTAGCTTTGCTGCATCTTGGGTGTTCTTCGCGAAGTGATCTTCCACTTCTATATCGATGTCATTTACGGTGATACTCAGGCGATCTAGTGCAGTATTGAGAATGTTGCGCAGGTACGTCGGGAGCGCCAGGGGAGCGCCGATGCCCGCAGAAGCTTCGTCACCATCGTCACTAGAGGAGACAGATTCTTGCATATACTCTGACTGGGAGGCTAGCTCCTGCTGCAGCTCACGAATCTCCTCGGCAGGCTCCGATTTCATGAAGGACTTGGCCAACTCGTCTACTGTCGGCACATGTTCGTCACCGTCGTCGGAACCACTATCGCTCTGGTCGTTGTAGGTAGCGGAAGGCGAAGCTGGTTTCGTAGGTGGCGAGGATCGTGAAGGGCTGTGTTGCTGGCCGGGAAGAGATGAGGAGGCATCTCCCACGTCCTCTATCAGCTGTGCCTGGACTTGTATGCCATCCACCTCTATTGATATCTGGGGAACGCCGAAGTCGAGGACGAAGGTGACTCGGAGTAGGGAGGCTCGCGCTTTCGATAGATTTATTTCGGGAGGGAGTTTGAGATGTAATAGTGTGACGAGTTTCTATGAGGCCATGTTAGTCAAGTTTGCGGGCGGAGCGCGCATCTCCAGCACGCACCTTGATGTGTAGGCCGACGTCCCGAACCTCGAGTGTAGTCCGCTTTCCCACGTCAACGCTCACGAAGTCGGCAGGGTCCTTGTCGAATATGTCGATGTGGCGCAACCCATAGAGAAGCAGCCGGCGGCCGATGGAGCTCGAGAGCCCGGAGAAGAAGGCCATGGCGGTCGGGGGGCTGGCGACTGGGTTGAGGGATCTTTTGACTGTAGGCCGGTCGGACGCCTATCGTTACGAGAGAAGAGGCTCCATGAGTGGTGGGTGGTGCCGTTTCGTAGCGCGTGCAACGATATCGGAGCGCGAGATGTCTTCGCTCTAGCTGTATAGCGATGCAGAGAGAGGAAGGGAGAGAGTGGTGCCTGCCAAGTCTAGTTCCTGGACAAGCCGCGGTTCGAGAACGTGCAGAGGTCCGAGTTCTAGAGAAAGGTGTACTGCAAGAGCATCAGCAACAGGGTTAGTGAGGGTGCAGGTTCCCGTGGCAAAAAAAGACGTGGTTGATCACAGGGCGAGGTTCCGAGGTTTAGCGCGTAGGTCCCAGGTGCGTACAAGTAGCAGATGATGTGTTATGCCATTGCAGGCGACCGTGCAGCACCACCCCGTCACCCGCTACGGCCCCGCGCATGCATCAGGGCCGCACTAAGCAATCGATAAGCAGGCCGCAACGCGTCAAGAGCGCGAGCAGTCACCGAAACACTCGCCACAGTGATTGCCAGCTCGTGTGAAGTCGTCGCTGCGGCGCAAAGAAGCGTACATTGACTTGTTCCAGCGGGCTCTGGCTGCTGTAGTGCCCTTTGCCCTTTTCTCCGTATCTCGCCGCTCTTGGCACTAGCTAAAGCCCTTTTACGTCAGCTTCGGCTAGCGCCGTTCAGGAAGGAAGTCGCGGAATTCACCGATAACACTCGACGTGACTCTAATACATCAGCATTCTCGGTCCTTTGTTCTCTTCGACCTCCATCTCAAGAACAAAAATCATCATGGCGACGAATGATGCTGCAAACGACGATGAATGGGCCAAGGCCGAAGGCGTCCCTAGCCTAAGCGACCCTTTCATCCAACAATACCTCCAAGGCCGTGATGCACTGGTGCAGCAAGAGAAGAGACAACGAAGTGGTTGGTGACCCAAAAGTGATCACATAAACACGCCATTCATATGGGTCTGACAACCTTCAGACTACCTCTTTCGCCAAAATCTATCGCCTATGGCCCAGGAAGCGTGCGCTATCGTCTCTCAGATCCGTTTCGAGGAGCAACAAACGCTTTGGACCAAAGATTATGAGGACAGCCTGCTGACCGATCATGTCGATGTCTTCCCGGGAATGATGTTCTCGCTTGCCAAAGAGCGCATGGAGAAGAGCAAGTTATGGCAGATCGTCAAGAAGATGCCAAAGGGCGCACTACTGCATTGCCACTTGGAAGCCATGGTCGACCTTGACTGGGCCATCGAAGAAGCTCTCAATACCGAAGGTATTTGCGTAGTTGCTGATGGCCCGATCACCGACAGCCAGACCAGGCGCAAAACCGGCTTCTCTTTCACTTACTCCAAAGACGCCAAAACCGAAATGTCGATCTGGGACGACGGCTACGCTGCCAAGACCCCAATACCCGTGAATCAAGCCGCAGACAGTTTTCCAGACGGTGGAAAAGCAGCGTTTATCGAGTGGATCCGCTCCCGCGTCACCATCACTGCATCCGAGCATCTCTCCCACCATGAGGGGCCCAACGAAGTGTGGCGCAAGTTCATGTCGTGCTTTCCTATACTCGGATCTCTGATCTACTATGAGCCTATTTTCCGCAAATTCATCCGCAGAATGTGCAAAGCCTTGGTCGACGACGGCGTATACTATGTCGATCTACGCTCAGCTTTCTATACGCCCTACCGTAGTGCGAAGAAGGAGAACTGGGATGAAGATTGGTTTAATATGCTCGAGCACTTGGCTGATGAAATTGAAAAGTTCAGGGCAAGCGAAGAGGGCAAAGACTTCTGGGGTGCAAGGATGATTTGGACCACAATTAGACAATTTGGAAAGAAGCAGGTTATCGAGAGTAAGTCTGACATCACCTGCGAACATTAGCCTTCCCCTTAAGGTGACCAAAACGTGTTCTCTTATCAAGCTGATGGTCTATAGGTATGAAACAATGCATAGAGATGAAATTAGAGTTCCCAGAGATAATCGCCGGCTACGACCTGGTTGGCCAGGAAGATTTAGGCCGTCCGCTCTCTGATCTTGCTCCTGAACTGTTCTGGTTCCGCAAGGCCTGCGCTCAAGAGGGTGTCGACATACCGTTCTTCTTCCATGCCGGCGAAACGCTAGGCGACGGTGATTCGACTGATGAAAATCTTTTCGACGCGATCATCTTGGGCACAAGACGCATTGGACATGGCTTTAGTCTTTACAAGCATCCACTGCTCATCGACATGGTGAAAGAGAAGAGAATCCTAGTGGAGAGTTGCCCGGTATCTAACGAAGTACTGCGGCTATGTGGGAGCATCATGTCCCATCCTTTGCCTGCGCTTCTAGCCCGCGGCGTTCCATGCTCGCTTTGCAACGACGATCCGACCATCCTTGGCCAAGGGCTATCTGGTATGTCGCACGATTTCTGGCAAGCGCTACAGGGGTGGGAGAATCTCGGCTTGGAGGGTTTGGGATCTCTGGCGGAGAACAGCGTTCGTTGGGCGAGTCTAGACGATTACAGCGCGAAGGATTGGACCCAGGATGTGAAGGATGGCATGTTTGGAAAGGGTGTGCGCGCACAGAGGTTGAAGGAGTGGGTGAGCAAATGGGAGAGGTTCTGTGCATGGATCGTAGAAGAGTACGGCGTTGATGAAAACTTAGAACCTGAGGAGTAGCTATGAAGCTTCGCGTGAGCATACATTGAAAATGTGGCACGACATAAAAAACAACAAAGAATACTGCACTATTACAAGCGAGCTTGGCTACGATTCTTGCTAGATGGACAGCATCCATAATGCTAATTGCTTCTTGACACTTGATTCTAGTCTACAGATGATGAGGTAGGAAATCGGATGCCTGCATGCGTAGACTCTCTCTATCGCCGGACATCGAAATTTCGCGGTAAATAGCCCCTTCTCAGCGATGCCTTCTCCCATCATGACAGTCGCACTGCTATGGTCGGTATCAAAATGACGACAATGTATACTGCAGTCACAGCGTAGTCCGTATGGAAACGATCGATAGGCTGAGTGACGGCACAACACGACTGCCTCGACCTTGCCCATGTTCTAGGCGGGGACAGACTTAGCATTGCGACATTTTTGGTCTCCCTCGTGGAATGTAAGCACAAGTTTTTTATCGTCGAATTCCATCACAACTACTTTAGCACGTCTACGCACTCCTGTGCTGCCTGGATATAAGGCACCGAACTCCCGATTGGGAATAGCGTCGACCATTGCCTGAAAGTTCCAGGCAGAAGCTTGGTAACATCTCAGCATCCGCAAATTTCCCCTGAATGCCTTCAGTTACAAGTAGCGCATGAAGGCGCGATTCCATCAATTAAGAACCTTAGGTTATATTATGACCAGCGATCATCATTGAGCATACTCCATCATGTCGTCGCCACACAGTTTCGACATCCTCCGCCTAGCTCCTGAGCTTGTAGCCAACGTTATCAAGCAAGTCGACAACAAAAAGGACCTATCGCATGTTCGCCTGGCTTGTAAAGCGTTGGACGACCACGCAGCTAAAGAGCTTTTCAAAGAGGTGTACATCTCCCCGTCGGAAGGGCACATCAGATCTTGGAACACGATCAGCCAGGATGATGTCATCAGGCGAATGCCTCGACATGCAATCATCCACACACATCCAGATATCGAAGACCTTGGACTAGGCCACACAAGAGAACCTATCGAGGTCGATGAGGATGACGAGGACGCTCTGGTTTTCGATGACGCCCTTGCCGCCTTATCAAGGTTTCCAAACCTTGACTCTCTGGAGATTGGCTTCACTCCAGAATGCATGGGTCGGGATGCCGACTACTGGCAGGAGGTGGAAGAAGATGTATCTGATCGCGAAGAAAGGTTAACGCTCATCTTCCAGGCCATCAAAGACAGGGCGGCAGACGATAACAATCGGACAATTCGAAAGCTGACGATCATCAACCTTCAGAACTGTCCCATTCCTGAGTTCACTTCTTCTGACCTCTTTCGCGATGTTATGGCTCAGCTAGAAGAGCTGCATATAACTATGGTGCAAGAATACAACGAGCATGGGCCAGATCACGACTACACCAAAGTCGAGCTGCAGATTTTCCCAGCGTACTTCTGTTCGCATTGGCTAAAGCCTGTCGCTGCGAATCTGAAAGCACTGTCTATCTATAGTGCATCAGATAATTGGGGCCCTTTTCCTGGCTACTTTGACCCGAGTGGTATCTCTTTCCCAAAGCTCGAGACACTTGCTCTGGGCTATTACACACTTGCGCACGATGACGACCTCAACTGGATCCTCGCTATCAAGTCGCTGCGAAGGCTTATCTTCCACAATTGTATGATTGCTTCTTGGATCCGCATCGATTCTGACAATATGGATCAGTGGAAGGTCCGGACGCAAGACTGGACCAGGTTGTCAGACCCCAAAGATCACGATTGGGACAAGGACTTTGCGTACGGCGGGAGATGGAGTCAGTTTTTGGATCGCATCGCGAGAGATCTTACGAACCTTATCGATTTTCGCTTTGGTTATGGAAATTCATATGAAGACCCAAAATACAAGGTCACAAACCGCGATAATTGCCCCACTGAGGTCTTTTTCCAACGATACATTTGCTTCGACAACGGAATCTTACCTACGCACTGGCCTGAGCCGAGGCAAGACGATGGGGTGCTGTATTCGTGGCTCAAAGAAGGATTTCCTGTGAATGCGCACAAGGAGAATTTTGATGAAGACCAGAAGAGTCTAGACGCACTTCTTCAAACTTTACAGTCAAGGACAGAAGGAAATTAGAAAAGGTTACAATACCTGTGCGTTAGATATATATCTAAGCTATTTTAGTACCTTGTACTTAGCACAACAGAAGTTTAGAGGAGTAATACCTACCTATTAAAATTCTAGAGAAAGAGCGTCTATGTATATTAGTAATTAGTAGTAATTACTCTATTATAGAGACTTACTACTCTAAAATTCTACTATAACTCTTTATAAGTTTAATAC